CCACGAACCCCACCGAAATGATCAATATTACACGTTCTCTTAACAACTCCAAATCTCACGGGCATGATAGAATTAGTGTGTCTCTTTTAAAAGAAATAATCCACCCACTTGCTAACCCTCTTAGTCACATTTTCAATAAATCATTATCACAAGGTGTTTTTCCGGACTTATTCAAAATCGCCAAAATCAATCCAATTTTCAAAAAAGACAATCCTCATGAAATTACGAATTATCGCCCCATATCTCTACTCCCAAGTATATCCAACATTTTTGAAAAAATAGTATATAATAGACTCTATGAATTTATCAACAAACACAATTTGCTAACTTCTAATCAATATGGCTTCAGAAAAAATTACTCAACAAACCTGGCTTTAATCCAAATTTATGATAAAATTACAAACGCCATAGCTAACAAAGAACATGTCATTGGTATATTTTGTGACCTCAGTAAGGCATTCGATACACTTAATCACGATATTTTACTTTCAAAACTTAATTATTATGGTATACGAGGTCAATCACTCCTTTGGTGTAAAGATTATTTAAGAAATCGAAGACAATATGTCACATTTAATGGTTATGACTCTGATTCACTTTTAGTTCAATGTGGTGTCCCTCAAGGCTCCATTCTAGGCCCACTGTTATTTCTGCTATATGTCAATGACATTATTAATACATCCTCCATTTTATCTTTTGTATTATTCGCCGACGACACAAATATCTTTTTTTCTCATAAAAATCTCACTTCCTTAAACAACATATTAAATCATGAAATAAACAAAGTATCACAATGGTTTAAAGCTAAAAAACTATCTTTGAACACAAAAAAGACCCACTTCATCTATTTTAAACACCATTCTTATGTTACTGATACTCCAATTCACTTACAGATTGACGGCATGCCATTAAGCCCCAGTCCCATATATAGCCGGACCAGCACGGACGAGCACGGACCACTCCGGACCATCCCGGACCATGGTCTGGGGTGATCCGGGATGGTCCGGGATGTTTTGTTCAAAAAAGTGTGATGCTTTTAAGCTACAGTCCCATATACGTCCCGGACCGTCCCGGACCATCCCGGACCCCATCCTGGGTGATCCGGGATTCGGTCCGTGTTGACACCATGTTGGCACCGGGGTGGTCCTGGATGGTCCTGGATGGTCCTGGATGGTCCTGGATGGTCCTGGGCGGTCCGGGAGTCGACCCCGGATGTTTTTGACGGTCAAAAACTGCCGGGGTGGTCCGGGACGGTCCGGGACAATAGTTTGATCCGGGGTGATCCGTGTAGCCACCGTGCTGGGTCCGGGGTCATCCGTAGTGGCGCCGGGGCGGTCCGTGTTGATCCGTGGCAGTCCGGGAGTGAGTTATTGACCGCCCAGGACCATCCAGGACCATCCAGGACCACCCCGGTGCCAACACGGTGTCAACACGGACCGAATCCCGGATCACCCCGGATGGGGTCCGGGATGGTCCGGGACGGTCCGGGACGTATATGGGACTGTAGCTTTAAGCCCCAGTCCCATATAAAGCCGGACCAGCACGGACGAGCACGGACCACTCCGGACCATCCCGGACCATGGTCTGGGGTGATCCGGGATGGTCCGGGATGTTTTGTTCAAAAAAGTGTGATGCTTTTAAGCTACAGTCCCATATACGTCCCGGACCGTCCCGGACCATCCCGGACTCCATCCGGGGTGATCCGGGATTCGGTCCGTGTTGACACCGTGTTGGCACCGGGGTGGTCCTGGATGGTCCTGGATGGTCCTGGGCGGTCAATAACTCACTCCCGGACTGCCACGGATCAACACGGACCGCCCCGGCGCCACTACGGATGACCCCGGACCCAGCACGGTGGCTACACGGATCACCCCGGATCAAACTATTGTACCGGACCGTCCCGGACCACCCCGGCAGTTTTTGACCGTCAAAAACATCCGGGGTCGACTCCCGGACCGCCCAGGACCATCCAGGACCATCCAGGACCATCCAGGATCATCCAGGACCACCCCGGTGCCAACACGGTGTCAACACGGACCGAATCCCGGATCACCCCGGATGGGGTCCGGGATGGTCCGGGACGGTCCGGGACGTATATGGGACTGTAGCTTTAGAGCAGAAAACTCACTCTAGATTTTTAGGTGTTATCATAGATCAAACTTTATCTTGGAATGTACATCTGCACCGTATCATAATAAGTATCTCAAAAAGTATTGGAATAATTTCCAAGTTAAGATTTATTTTACCTCATAAAACTTTATTTTTATTGTATAATTCGTTAGTACTCCCATATATAACCTACTGTAACGTTGTTTGGGCTAGTTGTGGTTCTACAAAGCTGTCTCCTATTTTTAAACTACAAAAGAGAGCAATTCGCATTTGTACAGGATCGCATTACTTGGCCCACACCGATCCTTTATTTTTTAAACAAAAAGCACTAAAAATTGCCGACTTATATACTATTCAAATAGCTATCATTATGTTTAAGTATATTAGTAATCTGCTCCCTTCGTCTTTTGATGACATGTTTAAATTCAATAGCTCTGTCCATACCTACCCAACTCGCATATCCGGAAACTTTCATCTCACAAACCCAAGACTGTTAATTGCCTCTAAATCAATTCGTCATCATGGTCCAGACATCTGGAATAATCTTTCAGACAATATTAAATCTTGTTCGACCATATACTCCTTGAAAGCCACTCTAAAAAAAACTATCATTCAATCGTATGAATCCCATACACCAAATTAATATATTCACATGAATATTCACATTCGTCATTCAATATCCTCATTTTACTCAACTGCTACGTACAGCACCAGCACCTGCACCTGCACCTGCAATGCACCCACTTGACCAGTTAGTATCAATTTCAGTCACGAATCTTTTTATGAGGCCGCCATCAATTTCAAGCCTTACCGCTCACGATGGCGGTCTCCTGCGTTCATTGATTGGATTATATATTATATTATATGTGATATATTATATTATATTATATGTGAGAGTATGTATAGGTGTATATGTGTATGTATGTATGCATGTGCTGTGTATATGTATATATATATATATATGTATATGTAGGTATATGTGCGTATATATGGATATATATATCTATATAAAAAAAAATTAAGCTCTCTTCCTTATTTTGTATTCATTATGTATCATGACTATATTGTTTATCTTATGAATTGTTTTGTATATTATCTTTGTAAACACATTTTATATTATGTATTGTATTATTTTGAACGCAGAAATAAAAGCAAACAAACAAACAAACAAAATCTGATCTCTCGTACCTTTTCTTTCCCTTTCCCGTTTCTTCCTTCTCTCTCTGTTAAGTTTGCTGAGGAAGGGGGAGGCAAGGGCCATTTGCCCCCCCCCCCTCCCATTGGCGGGAAAACTAAAACTGATATCCCCCCTTCTTTTCTTTCCTTCCCTTTATCTCCTCTTTTCCTAGGAGGCTTCCCCTCGATCTCCTTCTTTCCCCTTTTCTTTTCTTCTTCCTATCCTTTTGTCTCTTCTTTCCCTTTCACTTATTTTCCTTCCTTCTCTCTCTCTCTCTCTCTATCTCTTTTGCTGGGGTGGTGCTGGGGGTGGTGAAGGCCTTTAGCCCCCGATCTCCCTTCCCCCCCCCCCTTTTTTTCGTCTTCCTCTTCTTCCTTTCCCTTACTCTCAGCTTTACCTTTCCCTTCTTTTCCTTCTCTCTCTATCTCTTCTTTTTTGTTGGCGCCGGGGCAAGGCCCCGTAGCCCCCCCCCCCCCTGGATCTGCGCCGGGAAGACCTGTAATGTCATCCCTAGCTAGCTGGTAAAGCAGAATATGGGTTATCCAGCCGTTTCATTCACTGTGTATAATTATACTTGTATTGATGACTATGTACGTGTGGACTAGAGTACGGACATTCGGTGCGGCAGGCGGCATATTGGTGCGAGACCTCTTCCGCACAGGTTGTCCGTCAGACAATTGAGGCGCGCACGGAATGTCCGATACGGACTTCTGCGCGGATAAAATCCGCACCGATCGTCCGCTCTCGATCGATCTCTAATTCCCGGACGAACGGTGCGGGCTACATTCTACGCGGTCGCACCGGCTATAAGCGCGTACTTAGCCGTCACTTCGTGAAAACAGAAAATCCTTTTACTAACTACTAGTTAGTAAAAGGATTTTCTGTTTTAGTTTCTTGTTTACGTCATCGTCATAGTGACATAATTAAATATTATTGTGGTTCGAAATTTTGTGAGGTTCAAGATGTTAGTGACTGATGTCCAAAAATGCGACAAAATTACTGGAATTATATGCGATTTTCCTAATTACCGTGACTTCGTGAAAAAAGGGACGATTTATGCCACAAATGTACTGGATTGTACACAAACACAATATAATCTAATCAGTGGCACTGTATGTAATATTTAGAAAAATGATATTGGATAAGTAACAACACGCGGTAGGTAAGTAAGCAAGTAACTAATATAAATAATGATAATGATGATAATAATATCAATAATAATCTCATTTTGTTTATAACCTTTCTGATGTAATTGATTATAAGAATGACGATATAAGTCTGTTATTTTGTATGTATTATGAAAGTATTTTGTCTCATTATATGTATGTTTATATTACTATACTACTTGTACCAACCATGCAGGGGGATCGAATTTCCTGATATGGACAATTACTTATATACTTATACTTATAAAAAGCATCATTGTAAGGCATCATTGTAACAGCACGTCTGTGAGATGTGGATCGAGGACAGAAGCCGATTTCTCCACGAGTGGAGATGCAATGTTCAATCCGTTAATGAGAGGGCTAGGAATCCAGAAAAAAATTGAGAGGATAATGTAAGGCCACAGTGAATATGCTTAATGTCCGTTGTGTATATAGTGGCAAAGGGACACGATTATCGTATATTGTTATACATGTATATTTTGAAATGATCTAACTACAAGCCACAACAATATTTAATCGAAGGTTTTTATCATTTCATTCATCTCAAGGAATTTCTTACTTAGCCGTACGATACCAAGATGATGAGAACAAGAAAGGATTTGTTTTTGGTTTGGTGATCAGCGGCTTTGCTTTCGGAACACTTAGTAAGTCTTGAATTATTTCATTTTCACATTCAAGGACGTAATAGGTATTAAGCGGAGGGTCAAAGTCAGAAAAGAGGAGTTTTCCTGCCACTATACCGCACAAACTGAGCACATCTCATTTATTCGAAAGACTGGATCAAGATACACAATATTCCAGAATATTTTTTAAGCGCGATCACCCCTTAGTCGGAGGGGGCGTCTAAAAAGGCGGCCCTTTTGACGAAAATTAGTATTTTGTAAATAATATTTAAGGGAGCTTTGAACCACCATGAGTTTGGTGTCATATGAAAGAAAATTAAATCGTTTATTTTTGTATGGCAATTTCAAAGGAATGGGATTAATTAAAATCACACATTTAAGTAAAAAACATGATTTTTGTGTGTGATTGATTTTTAAACAAATTGATTTTTTTTAATCAAAAACCGTTATTTTCCATGTATCCAAATCGGAGAGGCGTCTTTTATTGTCACTTTCCAGGAATTTGGCCATGTTTAAGGATAATTTATTGTTTAAAAAGGGAGGCTTATATCTCTTTTCAGTCACGGTGAAAAGATATAGCAAATTTAAGTTATTTATTTGACTTCCACAAAAACTACATTTTTCCCGTATGTGTATTAACAGCTTGGATGTACTTGTATTTATGTATTTAGGACGTGCTTACTGTGTTTAAATCAATTTTTAGGATATGTTTTAAAGATATAGACCGGTAGTGGTAAAATTACGGTTCAAGGGTTTTGTGTGCAAAATATCCATTCAATATTGTTTAAATATTGCCTTCAGAGGTTTAGATGACTTTACTTCAACCTAAATTCGCAAAAAAGCAGAAATATATGCCCAAATGTTCAAGTGCATTCGCGATATCTCTTACATACTCCTATAACAGCGCCATGTACCCCCCCCCCTTCCCGGCTGCTATCGACTCAAGCCTTCTTGCTTATGATGGTTGGCATCTGCATTTATCTTGATTATTTTACTTACCTCCATACTCCAAGCTTTCAATTATATACATATATATATATATATAGGCCTATATATGCATTTTATGTGTGTGTATTTAAGTTGTCACTCTTTATGTATATCAATTATGTGTTATATACTATTATTGTTATTTGAATGTTTTATATTTGATGTATCAATAAATGTAGAAATATCTGCTATAATATATCTATCCAGGCCGGATCGATATGATAATTTACCAAATATATCAATTAGTAAGCGGTTTTCCGGCAAAATTTGTATCATCACGTATTTGTCAAAACACATTCTTTCACATGATTGGTAATAAGAGCTTCCATTTCATTTTTTGAGAGGGGGCGTTTCCCAGCTTGGCTATACCTTTAAGCTAAACCTCTTATAAATATGGGTTGGTGTCGAATGATGGATAATTAACTTACATTCAGGTTGATATCAATTTCCCTGAGTTATGTAGTGTGTAAAATGTAAATTTTGAGCCGATAACGTGTTTTGGGAGATTATTTCCCCCTGATTTAAAAAATAGTTTGTTGACAAAATACTGGTATTACACTGGTTTTCAAGAACGCCGGCAAAATAGGTGGTGTTGCACGAATGAATTCTGTATATCAGCACACCATGTTATAATTTTAAGAGCAATTTGAAGGATATTTTGAGAACATTTTTGTTTTAATTCAGAAAATCCAATTGCGCATTTGCAATCAGATAATGACCCAACTAAAATGTTGAAAGAAATGGAAAGAAGATCATGATTGTGGGCACAGGTGCGGTTGTTTTTTCCAGACGAGTTATGATGCACAATATTCAAAATTGGTGTAACCTTGCGTCCTTGCCTTCAAGTTGTGATTCTCGACTTTAATGATTACGAAGTATAGGGATTATAACATTAATTTCTTTTCTTGCCTTTTTACCCCCTCCCCCATTATCTCTCTCTCTCTCTCCATCTCCATCTCCATCTCCCCCCCCCCCCCATCTCTCTCTCTCTCTCTCTCTCTCCCTCTCCTCTCTTTCCCCCTCTCTGTAGTCGGTCCAACTTTAGGTTCTGTCCTGTATGGACTAGTAGGTCAGTCTGCTCCATTCCTGGTCATCTCTGCTGTATTAATTGCTTCTGTAGGTATGTTCTTTTTCCAGGTCAGAAGTTAGCTCGATAAATATTTACCCCCATTCCCCCCCCCCCCCCCCAAACAAAACAAAAAAATATATATATATATATATATATAATGATCGAAACACTTTCAAGAAATCAACTTAGGGGCAATGTTATACTCTGTTTTATTCCATATCGAAATCATGTACGGATGATGTAACATGCTATTATACGACGTCAGAACATTATCAAGGGACAGAGCTATTGCAAGTGCATTAGCTGTGTTGATTTTTCGAAAGTCTTTGCGATCCTGTCCCGTAGTATTCCACATTGTATCTTCTCTTTCAAAATCATGTTGATAGTGAAATCCACCCAATATGTGGAAATAAGTTAATAAGATTCATAAAATATATACAAGAGTAAAACGTCTAGAGATTTTTGTTTGATATTTGGCATGGTATACTTTTTTCCAATACATTATTTGTTTTAAAAATGTGCTATATTATGATACTCATCAAAATAGTTTTGTTTCATTGACTTGTAATGTGTACGTAATATGCTTACGCCAAATATTTTAGAGTGCACGATCATGTCCTTTTTCTACTCACAGTTTTTATTCCAATCTTCATGCCTGTGGACATACGACCTCCTTTAACAGAAGAGGGGTCATCTGCTCTTACCTTAATAATGAATCCTTACACCATACTGGTCTCGGGTATGTAGCAGACGTAATAATGGGGACTTTTAGACAACGACAACATGGATTGCTACGATCGACGTCCATTTAATGCGCTGCCTTGAATGGACGTCACACGTATCAGTCCACGCAAATCTAAAAGTCCCTACTGTCATTGAATGTAAGGACAGAATTTATAAAGCCCTTCTGCTATAATTGAAGCGTAACATAGTGTATCATTAACCTAGTAATATGATTCAATAAGGGATGAAATTACGATTCTGTCTTCACTCCTCAGGGGAGTATTCCAGTCAGTCGCAATTATTCCAAAACAGTGACATTCTAATCATGCTGGGAACCCACTCAACACCTGCGTGGACAGGATAAACTTAGATATTTAATGGTGGATCATTGGTGGTTCCAGGAGTCTCTTGTCAGGTGGGGGGGGGGGGTGGTGGCAAAGGTATCCATGTAAATAGCTATGGTGAAGCTTAACAGTGCATCCAAAATTACATAGAAATTACAAGGTCCAAACCTTGAAATTTATCATAGACCTTGTAATTTATCAAAAAGAAAGCCAAACTCGTATTTTGACTCTATTAATAATTCATTCATATCGTTGATGCCTAGAAACATTATTTCACATGTAAAAGAGGAGCCTTTGGGTCTTTACACAAATTTCATTTCGGTATGCTTTCATAGTTGAAGGGAATGTAACTGAATTGTATCATCACCATTACATATCTTGTTTTCGTATGTAGTTCTCGCTTTGATGACCACGATGGGCATGGCCTACGCTAGTGCAACCCTTCCAATCTGGCTTCGATCAACTTTCCTCACACCAGACTGGCAAATAGGTATACACAATAGTATGCACCACGTAGTGACAGATACCGGGGGCATGAGTGGCTGTGCCCTCATTTTAACCAATATCTTCACAACACAAAAGGTCCCTTCCCCCATTGTGTTTTGTGCCCACTTACAAATTCTTGACCTCAAATATCATGTTCATTTCAGGTGACGTATTTTTCTATCGTTATGCATTATTTTCTTACTTCTTTGCTTATTTTCTTTTTTTCTTTTTTTCAGAGGCCAAGACTATACTATTTTTCACATGTTTAAAATGTAGTCGGTGGCGTATCCTTAATAGGCTTGGTGTAACCCCCTCCCCACCCTTGTTAAAAGCCCAGAAACACTCATTGGAGTGTGTATCCGTCATGCGGGAATGCCGAGATACCCCCCGGCCCCCTCCTCCCCACCTCCCCCTTCTTGAAAAGGATTTAGCCTCCCTGTACACTGACTGTCAATTTCTCGACATTATATCATCACACCGTTTGCAACCATTATTTTTTTTTTTTTTAGAACCATGTAGAAATCGTACGAATTACGCACAAAAAAGATTCAGATGAACGGTTATAAACGTAAAGTCTAGGGTCTGGAATCATCAAAATGATAAGAAATCTGGCCAAGTCTTGGTAAAGTTACAAACACTGTACACAGAAAGATGTATATGGGACTACACGAACACGTGGCGTAAAAAACCTACCCCCGAGTTTTACGATGTTACATGACATATTTAGAATAAGAAGGCATTTGAAGAGCCATGCTTTTCAGGGAATATGTCTTATCTGATGTTCTTCCACACTTGCATAATAAGAATGATAAAGTTCACAAATTATTTTTCACCTCTTCCCAGAACTCAACCAGTTCTGCTTATTATACAAAATATAATTACGTCAATAAAGTGCTCATTTCTTCTCCAGGTCTGATTTTCATTCCAACCAGTATCATGCACGTTATATCAGGACCTCTTATCGGATACTGGAATAAAAAATTGAAAAGGTAGCTGTTTCTTCATTTCTTTCTTCCCCTGTAATGTTCATCAAGGTTTTTTTTTTTCGTACTTACATCTTTTTCAAAAGAAATGATATGTTCGAACGAGAGATGTTCAGAAAATATGGACTTGTGTGGTTCTGTTGATACAAATATATAATGCTTGATATTTTTATGTTAAGTGATAATTTCGAAATAAGAAGAGGGGAGGGTATAATAATTTGTTAAAATATTACGAATTCATAAATCGTTTTATTCACATGTTTATTCATAAAATTGGTGCTTAGTATGTATATCTATATTCATATTTTTGAATGTCGCATAAAAGTTTTAAAATTTGAAGAAAACTGTTCACTATCTGCAATCACAGATGGAGGTGTATGTTTGTTGGGGTGTTAGCGATGGCCATTGGTATTTCCACGGTAAGTTAAATACGTGCACTAGACAAGTTCATAAATATGTGTATTGCGTGCGCACATATTTTTTTCTAAATTATTAGTTACTTTTGACAACTAAACAGCTTGACAACGGCTCACCCAATACATCAAAACTATATACTCATGTACGACAGATTTATCAAAATACAATGTTAGCATGTAATATTATCATTGAAAGGGACATTTGTCGATATATCAAGTTGACTTAGAGCTTTAATGTATTTACGTCAGTGGTGTGCAAGAAAAAAAGGTTCTACACTGTTTAAAGTAGAAAATAAGAATGTCAATGTTTGCTATGCTTTTGATCTATATATTTTATAACATACCAAGCATTTAGTTCGAAAGTATAGTGTAAATTATATATCTTCGGAGGGACTGGAGTAACATGCCAGTCCCTCTTCAGATAGATAATTTCTGACAGCTTGGTATATAATTATATTGACTATCTTAGCAGTGTAATAGTATATATCTATTGTATCATGATGTTTCAGGGTTTTGTCTGAAATGCAGACTTCACATTTGAATTAGCATTACTATCATTAAAAAAATGAAGTTAAAGTATAACAGAAGAAATGAATAAGTAGTAGCTACAATTTGATATTATTTACACTGATTAATACTATTCACGTTATATCACAAAGCTTCCACTAGCTCACGGGATCTGGCACCTGATTCCCTCTATGAGCATCATTGGATTTGCCTTTGGTGAGTTGAATACGTATCATATTCTACATTATATCATTAAGTTCAAGAACAGATAATAGGCCACGCCGGATACAATACCATGATTAAATCACTCTGTCCCTTCTTTTCTAACCTCTCTCTCTCTCACTCTCTCTCTCTCTCTCTCTCTCTGTCTCTCTCTGTCTCTCTCTCTCTCTCTCTCTCTCTCTCTCTCTCTCTCTCTCCCTCTCAGTCATTCTAATCTTAATTTGTCACCCCTCTTTATTGGCAGGTACTGTTGATAGCACCGTAATGGGAATAATGTATCGAATTGTAGAAGTTTGGTATAACGGCGCGCACAGCTTGGCTGCCGCCGTTTTCGTCTTTAACTTTTGTCTTGCGTACACAATAGGTAAGCAACATTTCATCTTGTTCATTATTTGTAGATTTTTTTTTTTTTTTTTTTTTTTTAAATAATTTTTTAGGGGGGGGGCTGTTGTGGGGTCATGGGGTTCTTTAATTCATTTTCTACAGTCATGTTCCTTGCTTTAATTCATTTAAAATCAATATAATATTGGATTGCCACCCCCTCCCTCCCCCTCCCTATCCTTTCTCTCTAGAGCTGCTACTTGTCTTGAGTCTCTTTTTCTTTTTTTCATGAAACGACAACTTTTATTCATTTAATGTTGAATAACTATAAAAACAGAAGTTAGCAATATATTATTCTCCAAAACAGAATTGTAATGCTACTCAAAAGGCTCACTTAGAAAAAGTAATTTTTTTAAGGAGATTCGTCACAAAACAGATTTCTTATTCAGAGCATTTTAATTGTCGAGGTTAGATAACGACTACCCTAAAATAATACATCTACAATTATCAAATTTTGTTTATTAAAAAAAAAAAATTGTTTATTACAATGCATTCTCCTCGCAGGTACGATGACTTCAGGTTTTATTGTCGGATATATTGGATTTAATTGGTAAGTTTTGTGTGAGCTATACAGTGCGTCCCAGAAAAACACGAAACCGAGAATTATCGATGTTTTATCATAACGTAATCACCGTTATAATTAATAAATGACACATATTTGAAAAGCTTAGCTCCATATTTCACTCATGAGTGATTAAAAACAATTTGAAGAAAGGGTACCAAAAAGTCATTTGGCGAACGGTATTTCCAGAAAGTTCGTTTTCTGCCCTTTCATATGACACCTCAATCAGGAAAAATGAGCCAGGAATAACCAGTGGTGGATCCCGGGGCCCTGGGCCCCGGGCCCCCTCCCCTGGGGAAAAAAAACGTGTATTCGTTCTGTCATTACACAGGTAACTGCCCGCCCTACCCCCCTCCCCCATTCAGTGTTATTTAGGGTACGCATATGCATGTTCCCTCCTTTTGAAAAGTCAATACGGGCCGGATTTTTGTGTACTACGAGCCGGACTTTGGTGCGTGAAACTACCGGACATTTTGGGAACACGCATGGTATCCCTCCGTTCACGGAGTGGGGGGGGGGGGGGGGGGGAGGAGGAGGTGGTCGGGGGTAACTGTCCCCAGAGAAGGTGCACAATTTGTGACTTCTCTTCTTTTTAAGCACAAGCTATATATAAACAGATCTTGGACAGAGGTAGAGTTCAGGTTTAATAAACATGGACATGATGGAAACAAAATGCAAAGATGAATAAAGAAAAAGATGTTAAATGAAAAGAAAGAAAGATCACCTACTCAATCAAGATTGATCAAAACAAACCATTAAAAAAATAACCCCTAAGGCATTTATAATGAAAAATATGAAGATATGAATAAAGAGATGTTTCAACAAAAATAAAGAATGTCGAAAGAAAGAGAAAACATAAAATACAATATAAATATATCAGAAAAATAAGAAGATTGTGTAATGTGAAATCATGTCAGAAAAGATATAGAGAAAAAGAATAAATAAATGAACATGAAATACTGAATATCCGATTGAACATCGAGCCTCATACTATGATTATGAGGTCTCGTTTTAATTTTAATGTCCCGATTGCGAAAGAAGTTGCCCATAGACGAAAATGAAACCGCCAAAGAATTCACCTGCCACTCAACATTGGCGAAATTGAATGACCCTTACGCATTTCCAAATTGACTGAACCAAGCTTTAATTTGAATGTGCATATTTAGAAAATTCGGTGACTCGAAACGAAATTGAATGCAACAAGTTTAAAAATGAAACAGGGGAGAAAATTTGCTCGAACATGAATGCACTTTAATGATATTGATTGCTGCTTTTACGAAATTGGCCGGGAAAACCTATAATAATTTATAGGGCAGTTTTGTTTAAAGTAAGTTTTTAATTATCTGTAATGTTATTATTAGAATTATGTATTATTATTGCTGTATGTTTAGTTTACGTTGTGCCTTGATATGTTGAGCGTTTAAAAACATTGTATTAAGCGCTTTATAAATGTGATTTATTATTATTAATGAGAGAGCGTTTAAACTATGAGTACAAGTGGCATTGCGCATTGTAGCGTGTCTTTAGAAACAATTTATTGATACGACATTTGAGAGAGTTGTATTTTATTTTCAGTCACCTTCTTCGTCTTTTTAATTGCGACGTACCACCAACCGTAACTGAAGTCTAATTACCTTTTTTTTGTATTGCATTGTGTTGTACAGGACTATGTGGAGCTTATCGATAGCCATTCTCGTGTCTTCACCATTTTGTTTACTGCTCAGTCGAATTCCAGAAGAGAAAGAAACCCTACCATCTCCTGATCAAGATGTTCTGTTACCGAACTGTCCACCCGAGACAATAGAAGATAAACCACAACCATCGCTTGATGAAACCATACGCTTGATCAAAGGATGATAGCAAACTATCGTAAACACGATCACAAGATGTTGCATTATATATATACCAAAATCATGTTTCCCATTTTGTAAAGCATCACCGTGATGTTCCCACATTTCAAACAGTCTCACAACACTTATACTTTATAATGTGCTCCGGCAATAATTATTGTTTCCGCGGACAACAGTATTTCTGACATTAACTGAATTCCTGATTTCAACCATGAAACTATACAAACCGTATTACATAACCTAAAAACCAAACCACGACCCTTATATTCCTTAGCCTATTTTTGACATAGCGAAACGGGGAGCAAACGTCCCCGGAACATGTATCAGATTACTTGCAGACACTTACTGCCTGTTACTGGTGCTGTATACCACTATGATGCCTTTACAAATTTGTGTTCTTTATTTTATGTTTCATCAAAGAAGTACGCTCTATGATTAAAATCAAATTAATTTCTTTCCAGATTGTTACGGCAGCAAATTAAAGTGTGCTCGTAAAGATCTGTAATACTGTTTTAACTTACTTTACCAAAACTCTCTATAAATATTATGAAACTAAGTTTTAGGGGTTTGCTTCTTTAGCATGCCCCTCCGTGTCATAGTATTTAGATCAACAATGTTTCGTTATAATTTTCGGTTCTTCAATATTTCTCATTTATACAATTCTATCACATTGTTTTATGTCATTGTTGAATTTATATGTACTTTGTACATGTTTAAATGTGTTCATATTGAAACGGAAATATATATATCAATTCAAATCAAATTAAGGTCAATGGTTGAATGTAATGGTAATTGATGAGGACACCACCATAAATACTCTTTGAAAATAGTTCAAATTTCCTCTTCCGAACTCGAGGAACATGATAAAGGGATACAAAAACTCTTTCTTGTGATATCCCGAACGCGTCACAGCGCCATCATCATTCATGTAGCAGTCGGCGTAAACAAAGGAGGCGTATACTTGGATTGTGTTTTTAAAAGTTATCATCATATTTTAATATCATTTCTCATACTTAGCACCATCATTTTATATCTACAAAATAATGGATATTATCGTAATACAGCAGTATTAATCTAAATAGTGGTAGTTATACTTTTGTTATCCCTCTACTTCATTTGATTGTACACTTTTATATTATGTTCTGTGGCCAATAAATTCAATTCAATTCAATTCGATTACAGTCGTGTAACGAGCGAATTGATGTTTGGTCTACAACCAGTTCATCTACTACCCAATTAGTCTATTCCCGTATTGTCTACCAACAGTCCGTCTACTATCCACGTGATCTAATAATCATTTCGTCTTCTCATAAGTTGGTCTAATGACCATTTAGGCTGAAAGCCATTTGGTCTAATTTCCATTTGGGCTTATCTGAAATTATTCTACTATCCATTTGGTTTATTGTTCATTTAGTTTAATAACCAGTTAGTCTAATTCCCAGTTTGTGCCCATTTCGTCTATTTTCCGTAAGGTCTAAATGATTAATCATTTAATGACTAATTTGTATCCTCCCTGCCTTTCCTTCTCTCTCTCCCTTTCTTTCTTTGACTACCTGACTCCCGTATCCCTCTTCTTCTTTGTCTCAATATCTCAATGCTCATACCCTTTCTTCTTATCTGTAACATGATTTCAAAGTCTTTGGTAATACAAATGGCACATTTTTTAATAATTTACTTAGTAATGATAAAATGTTTATTCAAAATATATAGGCAAAATATATATATTTATATTCCGACTTTCAATTTCTTCAAACAATCCTTTTGTACGCAGAACAAATGAATAATGTTCAGTTCACGATATCATATCACGAAAGTACAAAATGACATTTTAATAAACATGGATAAGGGGAAAGTTACTGCATTAGTTCTGTTAGATCTCAGCTGCTTCTTCGATACTGTTGACCACAATATCTTAATCGACAGACTAAAAAAGATTGGCATTGGTGGAACATGTCTTCATTGGTTTCGTTCTTACCTTTCAAATCGATCTCCAGCGGTTAACCTACATGATACAACTTCATCGGTTGTTAATCTTCTGTTTTCTGTGCCCCAAGGATCTGTTTTAGGTCCCCATCTGTTTAATGTATATACCTTACCACTTCATGAGATTATCAGTAAACACAGTATGCAGACGATCTACAATTACATTTTTCGTGTCTTCCTATTCAGGAACAGGTAGAAAAACGTGTCAAAGATCTTGAAAGTTGTATTCATGATGTACGAAAATGGATGAATGATTGCTATCTCAAACTAAATGACGATAAAACAGAATTTCTCTTGTTAGGCTCCAGACAACAACTTTCCAAGATTGCTATAACTTATATACGTGTTGGTTCTGTGCACATTGCTCCTTCAGATAAGGCAAGAAATCTTGGTGTCATTTTCGATACAAGCATGTCTCTTGATGCACATATTTCAAAATGTGTGAAAGCTGCCAATTATCATCTTCGTAATCTTCGCGCTATAAGGAAATTTTTAACCCCCCAAACCACTCAACAATTGATTCATGCTTTTGTAACATCTCATCTCGATAACTGTAACTCTCTCCTTTATGGACTTCCTAAATACCAAATTCACAGACTACAAAAGGTTCAAAACGCAGCTGCCCGCCTTGTCACTAAATCTAAACGTTCGACCCATATACTCAAGAAACTTCACTGGCTTCCAATAGAACAGCGTATCAAATATAAAATTCTACTACTCCTTTACCGTTCACTAAATGGATCAGTCCCTGAATATATTTCCTCTCTTCTTAATATCTCTTTAAGTTCTCGTGCAGGTCTTCGTTCCTCTAATTCAACAAATTTAACACAATTAAGAACAAAGAGGAGTTGGGGAGACAGAGCCTTTACAGCTGCTGCACCCCGGTTATGGAACTCCCTACCCCATTCAATCAAAATGTCAGCCAATCAAAATGTGTTCAAAAAACAATTGAAAACCTATCTAATGTCTGAATTCCTTAGTTAAGACGTAGTGTATTTCAAAATATGATGTAATTAACGTTGTTGAATTGTATTTAATTATGTTAAATTATTTTCGTTCAATGTACTTACCTTGTTAGGCGCCTTGAGCATCTCTTGGGGTGGATATGTGCGCATTATAAATGTTGTTATTATTATTATTATAAAAAAAATTAAATTAAAATTAGTTAAAATTAGACATGCGTAGAATATAATTTCGATCAACAAATTAATTTGCTACCGTAACATAGTAAACTACTGCAAGACTAAGAAAGTAAATTGTTGCTAAATATTATTGTGAGGGAGGGCAGAGAGAGAGAGAGAGAGAGAGAGAGTGTGTGTGAGAGAGGCAGAGGATTGGAGTCAGACAAAGATGGGAAGAGAGACACAAGAGAAACCGTGGACGAAGATGTAGAGAATATACCCTGTAAAAACAACGGGACTCGCTATTATGAGCAGTGGCATAGCGAGGGTCCATTCATTGAGGGGCGGGGGGGGGGGGAATCTTTCAATTTAATCTTAAAAAGCTTATGTAAAATTTACCGATATTTACAAGATGTATACAGGTCTTGTCATGTTTCCTGATCATGCTGAACGTTGAAAAATTAAATACAAACTGAAACTGAAAGAAGAGTTACGGGGTGGACATGGTGAACTTACGTAAAGAATGGTAGTTTGAAAATAATCCTATACCCCTTTTCCTTTACATATCAGCAAACGTAAGAGCGTAAAACAACGAACAATATAATAACGAGATGAAGTACAGACGGTTAGATTCGGTATAAATAGCCATGAGACAATTTTGGTCAATATTTGCAACGCTAGAACTCAAGTTCAAAGGAGACGGGGTATTAAAATAAAAATAGAGAGCGATGGGGAAGAGAGTGAGGGAGACCAAGTGATAAAGTGGAGAGCGCGCGTACGCGGGAGAGAGGGAGAGAGAGAGAAGGAGAGAGAGGGAGAGAGAGAGAGAGATAGAGAGAGAGAGAGAGAGAGAGGGAGAGAGAGAGAAAAAAAAAGACGGAGAAAAGGAAATAAAGGATTGACGAAGAGGGAGAGAGAGAGAGAGGGGGGCGGGGGGGGGGGAGAGTGGGTGGGTGATGTTGCTGGTGTTGATGGGATGAAGATAGGGGTGCCCTTCCGTATACCATGATCTTTTCTCTTGAGCCGTCTTGGCAAATGAAGAAAAAAAGAGGGGTTAACTTTATGAAAAGAGCTTTTATCTCAAGTATTTTTATGCGACGTATATAGGAGACTAATAACCTATTATGGCATATTATTATAGAAGATGCGAGACTATCATCAGTTGACTTCAATGATTAAGAAAGGTTGTACGGGGGAGGTGGGGGGGGGGGGGTCATCCCAATTATTCTTTGCCGAGAAAGCTCATAAACAAATTAATCACAATGTAAACAAAATAAAACGTAACAAAACAAATTTACAAAACCTAAACAAAACAAAACAATGAACACCAGGAAAAGGCGAAAAAAATCTTGTTGAAAAAATGACTGTCAAACACATATGATATCAAATTAATTTTATCAAACATCAAAATCCATTATTTTAACAGGCACCACAACAAGCTATTAAAATTACCATCAGCAAGGTAATAAAAATGATATTTATCAATATATTTGTAACTTAATATTATATCGGTAAACTTTTAAAGTTTTTTTGTGGCAAAATTGGTGACTGAAGGGGGTATTCTTTTGTTTTAAATTATACTTGTGAAATCTTACTATGTCTTTAATATTGTTTTAATCTTTGAATTTTGATGGAAATTGTTTTTTAGCCTAGCTAGGGTATAGTTTTCTCTGGCATATGAATCACGAAACATATCAATTGTCAATGAATACCTATTAATTCTACCCTTGAATTACATTGACAGTTACATTGACAGGCACCACAACAAGCTATTAAAATTACCATCAGCAAGGTAATAAAAATGATATTTATCAATATATTTGTAACTTAATATTATATCGGTAAACTTTTAAAGTTTTTTTGTGGCAAAATTGGTGACTGAAGGGGGTATTCTTTTGTTTTAAATTATACTTGTGAAATCTTACTATGTCTTTAATATTGTTTTAATCTTTGAATTTTGATGGAAATTGTTTTTTAGCCTAGCTAGGGTATAGTTTTCTCTGGCATATGAATCACGAAACATATCAATTGTCAATGAATACCTATTAATTCTACCCTTGAATTACATTGACAGTTTTTCACAGAAATTCCAGCCGCCATTAATCATTATCCAAAGACTCTCATTGTATTTTAAATTTCTACCGTAATCTAAATCGATTCGAAAATCATGTTGTAGATTTATAATAGTTGTAGTTATTAAAGATACTATGTCCCTTTTGCAGCCCACCTCAAATTCTGTAGAACTTTGCAGGAATTATGTCATGTATGTCCTATCTGTGAAATTTAAACGTTAGCAGTGTCCTCATATTCAAATTATGCAAGGAAACCCGTTTACTTGCTAGACTTCACTGTCAGACACTATTGAGTGACTGACTGGCTTTTTTTCTTCTTTGGTAATAACATACATGAAAAGAGTTGTATAACTTGTAAAGGGTACATGAGCGTTTGTCTACATCAATAACCCACTTCTTGTGATGGCCAAGATTAAACTGATTGAATCTTTGCGCAGCATAAAACGTATGACCATTCGGTACAATTGTCTGAAAATCAAGACTATTACTTTTGGGCTCTATAGCCCTAAAGTCGATTTGACAACTAATAGTCGTTATTTTCCCACTTGAAGACATTTTCAAGCCCCACCTTTTTTAGGGAAGTTCTAAATTAGTATTATCTTTCAAATGCAGTTGAAATTTAACTTTTTCATTTTTTTGGCCTGCAAATGGGACATAGTACCTTTAACATGTACTAATTTTGTGTATATATTTCCCCCTCGATCCCAATTATTGTACAAATGTCACAAATCAGTTTTCATAACAGCAACTGATTTTTAAAAAATTCATAAATCATCTGTGCCATCATTCTGTACTTTTACACGTAGTTTTATAGAAAACTAGATGGCATGAAATCGTAGATGGCGACATACAACTTTTGGAAATAGGATTAGTCTCACAGAGAAGACATTATAAGGATTAAATCATTCTTTAATTTAACATTTCCCTCATTAACTCCAGTGTTATTAAGAATTATTTTATGATTTTCTTTACCTTTCTATTGTAAAATACATTTTATATCGATTGAATATATGACAAAAGTGTATAAGTAATGTCATAATCTTATGATATTTTGGAGATATTTCAATTATAATATAATTTGCATTTTTGGAGACTAGCCATCTGGTAGAATGTTTACTACGTAGATGTGTTAACTGATCAGTGAGAAGAGCCGACGGAGCACCGCAATTCATCGGTGAAATATTGAACTTTTAGTTGACTATTCTAATCGACAACTGATATTAATTTGATGCTGAATATCTCGAATATATTTACTACAACCAGGGTAAGCATACAGATCTTATAATTATTGTCTTACTCAATTTTTCTTCTTCCTTTCGCTCATTCATTTCCTGTGCACTCCTGCAGCAGACTTTAATTGGGTAGACTCGCCACGGTCTACCCGAGTTCCAACCGGCGGACGACCCTGCCCACTCGGCCTCGGGGTCTCTTCCGGTGAAAATATGGCTTATCGCAATTTTATTTAAACGCCCACCAACTCGTTGCCATCTCGTGTTATCTAAAGTGATATGAACTCAAATAAGGTTATTAAAAAGACAAATTTACATGTACATGGTTATGCCAGAGAATGGCTAGATCTAGGTGTAGGCCTAGCTAGTCTGTCGTCGACCAAAACTCATTCAGTCTCTGAATCAATGATATCAATCGTTTTTTCCACTCGCCTCTGACTCGGAGACTTCGTCTTGCTCCACTGTTGCACTGACCGCTTCTTGAATTTTGAATCTTGAATTTGTTGCACCCAAAAGGCTACGTTGACAGCTGTCCAGGGTGGAGTAATAGTGGTAGTGTGTGAGTGCGTGATGCGTGCAAGTAAAAGAAGCCAGACATTACTATGGGGTATTGAGGGTGGGGAATGGATGGGTTCGACACAATTACATGGGAAATGGACAGTGGCAATGAGGTAACAGGGAAAAAATACTTTTAACAATTTGGGGGTACTTTTCAAGCTTGCTTGCATGAAAATAACAGTTTTTATTTTGTTTTGCATTGAACTCTATGCAATTTTGGGGGGCTCTTTTATGACTTTCGGGGTTCTTTTGGCATTTTGGGGGCTAATTTACCCGAGCCCCCATGTATTTTTCCCCCTGTGAGGTAATCACTGATATGTTGTACATGTAGATTGGACTTCACTCTGTAAAAAAATTGTTCTTCTTCAAAGGAATGTAAGGCCTAGGGTAATCAAGAAAAATGAAGGGCGCTAGTGTACTTTAGTATCCATTTTTGACCCGTAACTCCGGCCTACTAAAACACCTACATCCGTACGAGAATACACCCGACGGTGGCCTGTACTTATAGCGAAGAAGAAGAAGAAGAAGAACATACCAAAAATCAACTAAATCTTCATCAATTGTTCAAATAATGGTCATGATATAGAGTCGTTATATTTCTTGCCCCCTTTGTGTCAATTTTTTTATCTTTTTGGAATATTTTTCCTAAATTCAAAGACAGTATATTATTCACTTTCTCACAGGTTTCACGGCAAACCCCTGCACAATTACAATACAATTGCATACTGTACCATACCGATGAAGGGCCAGGGTGCATGAAGTCGATTAATACAGTTGATAACTTTATGCACGCTCGCACACCCGTGAGTTACGGGTCAAAAATGGATACGAAAGTACACTAGCGCCAAATGAAGCAGGACTTATTATTGTATCAACAATTTCAGGCAAGATCTCTGTAATTTTCAGTCATATTCCTGATAAGTAGAGTCCCTATAAATAGACAATACCTAAAACTTTCAAAAGTTAGTTAAGTGATATTTGTTTGCCTCAAGAATAGCATTCATCTAGAATAATTTACAAAAAACTTGTACATCCCGACATATTTCTGAGTGTCCCTCCCCCTTCTTCCAGCCCCACTATAAGTTGTACTTTTAACTGTAAAATTTAAATTTTGCCTAGGTTTCTACTCCAAAAGGAAGGGCTGAGTAATTTTTTTGGTCCACCCTGGCACCATATTACATGTAGTCCATACAGTGCAAACTATTAAAAAAGATCAGTGTCTGGATATGTTTTTAGTTGGATTTGAGGCCTTGTCAGGATGTAATTATTATATTATGCATCAGTGGAGTATTGAATTCCATTCCAAGTCCGCCAAAAACAAACTGCACATACATGTACATGTATGATTGTTGCTGCTATACAGCTGTACTTGCTAAAAAATTCTGGTCAAAATCGCATCTGTTCTGATTGACTTGAAAATTCATTTTCAATACATTCCAGATATTTATTTCTTTAGTTGTGTCATGTTATTTTAAATAAGACTTTTCATTATTAGAAGTGCAAATTGTTGAATGGCTATTTGTAGATACTGTTTTTTTAATACAAAAGTAATTTAGCCCATGGGGCTGACTTATGGGACAAGTAATTTGTAGTTAGAAGGAGTAGTTTTTCCGGTGACGGCGACGGCAACGGCGTCAACATCAAAAACTTACCTAAGGTTAAGTTTTTTGAATTTTTGATATAATTTTGAAAATATAAGTCCTTAGTCAATGAAACTTAGACTATAGGGTAATCAAGTATCCCCAATCATGTGAGTTGAATTTCAGGTCACAAAGTCAAGGTCAAAGGTCATTTCAGGTCAACAGACTTCGACTATGTTGTGGCATCATTATCGAAAACTTAACCTAAAGTTAAGTTTTTGAATTTTTGATATAATTTTGAAAGTATAAGTTCTTAGTCAATGAAACTTGGACTATAGGGTAATCAAGTATCCCCAATCATGTGAGCAGAAATCAGGTCACTAAGTTAAGGTCAAAGGTAATTTTAGGTCAACAAACTTAGACTTTTTTGTGGCATCAACATAAAGATTTTGAATTTTTAGCATATTTTCAAAAGTGTTTGTCAAATTTCATGAAACTTGTACCTAAGGGTCATCAAGTACCTCAAGTCATATGATACAAATTCCAGGTCACAAGGTCAAAGGTCATTTTAGGTCAGTAGACTTGGATTATGTTTTCACAACTTAATGTGAGAATAAATGAATCAATTTTTCTTATTTATACATGATTCTTAATTAATATTCACTTCAAAATGCTGATTATATTCAGAGGATTTCATTTTGGGGGGCCTGCTAATGGGCCACCCTGCCTATAAATAATGTTCCAACCTCAATTTTTCATCATATCGAATGGCGTAATGCAGGCGAGACCTCCGAGAGCGTTTCCCTTGTTTTCCTTTAAAGATTGTTTGAGTACGGTAGACATTATGACTATGGCCATTTTGTATATGATAGCATCTCTACTCTTCAGCAAGCAAAAACATAAAATGGAAATAAAAAGATAAAAATGTAAGAAGAAACAGAAGGGAAAGGAAATGAGTGTGAAAAGAAAATAATTTCCTATGTTTAAAAACCCAAGAAGAGTTAGTGCACATTGGTTTTACTCGGCCCAACTCTGCTATGATCAGTACTTTTTATGCAATTTCATCTTGGCAAAATGACATTTCAAAATTTATCATGTTTATTCATCCATACTTCTATTTTACAGTAGACTGTACATGTATACATGTACTGTACATGCTCAGTTACTCACTGTAACATTGCCATAACATTTCAATAAATTTTGCAAGTAATGAGCTACCCTCTAAATATTCCTCCCCCATGCTGTAGAACATAGACTGTACATGTACATGTAGGTCTACAACTTCTCGTACACCTGTACATTCATTTTGAGGAACGACTCATCAGTTCAAGGCAGTTCATTGATAGGGCAAAGCTGGGAGGAAGGTAGAAAAATTAGCAGTCATTAGCATTGGCATTGAATGCACTGTGGGTGTGTTCACACAGACAGAGGACAAACATGATAACAACTGCATGTTAATGAAGGTGCATGCGGGTCTGTAGTTTACCTTTAAAAGCATGCATACGTTTAATGAGAGGAGAGAGAGAGAGAGGGAGAGAGAGAGACAGATAGAGAGACAGAGAGAGAGAGAGGGACAGAGAGACAGAGAGAGAGAGACAGAGAGACAGACAGAGAGACAGACAGACAGACAGAGAGACAGACAGAGAGAGAGACAGAGAGAGAGAGAGAGAGAGAGACACACACACAGACAGACAGACAGACAGACAGACAGAGACAGACAGACAGACAGACAGAGAGGATTGTAATGTACATTGTTTGTTACCAGTACTACAAATACATGTTTGCAGACTATGAATGTTAGCATCTTTCAGGGAAGAAATGTACTCCTGTTTGTATTGTACATTTGGTTTGTTCACACAGACATAACAGTATATTATGTTTCCAGCCTAAAAGTTTACAATTCGTCGCTGTTTTCACGAAGTGACGGTAGTGAAAAAAAATTGCATTCACTTTGTGTGACGATTTTCCTCATTACCGTCACTTTGTGAAAACAAGGACAAATTATACATTTGTTAAAGGTAAAGACCAGTTATGGTCGTGCGATTGCATAGTGAAAGAAACGTTGTGGAATCTATCTGAAAAGGTTGATCATCTAGCATCTAGCATCTAGCATCTGCAAGGTTCTGGAATCATCAAAATGATAAGAAATTTGGCCCATTCTTCGTAAAGTTACAAGCACTATACACAGAAAGATGTATATGGGACTACCCTATATCTCTCACAGTCCATGAGAGAAACAAATTTACGAAATATATGAATTAGTAGGCAGTTTCCCAGCAAATTTTTTATCATCATGTATTAGTCAAAACATATTCTTTCACATGATTGGTAATGAGAGCTTCCATTTCATTTTTTGAAATTGGGGCGTTTCCAATACTGGTTTTACCTTTAAAACTAGTGGTGAGATACATGTACACCCTGTACATATTAAAGTCTGTTCAAAAAGAGAGAAACACCTTAAGATGTACATCCGGTGTACTTAATTGGTGTGTTCCCACATATTACATAACAACATGTCTGCAAGACCTCAGCCTCAAGTGTAAATGTACATCTTCAAAATAAGGAAGAAGTAATTATGAACACACATGTACTTGCAGGGTTTATTCACACAAACGTATAAACAACATGTTTTCATGATAGATCTTTACATGTACAACACACCTTTTTTTTACCATCAAATATTATATTCCACTGTAGTGTCTATCTGTGCGTTCAGACTTTCAACATTTGTTGTATACATGTACATGTAGCTACATATGAATCTGATCCAACAGTCATTCAATTTCTCCTAGTCCGAATGTCGTATTAAGATGTCATGTAGTGTCTATGAGTGCATTCAGACTTTTAACATTTGTTGTATAGCTACATATGAATCTGATACAACAGTCATTCAATTTCTCCTAGTCCGAATGTCGTATTAATATGTCATGTTACAATTAGCATGACTGGGCACTCGTGATTGGCCGGCTGTCATGTCAAATTGTCAATTGACCTCGTCTAAATTAGTTTTTTTTTATGCAATGTTGTTTTCTAGTCTGTATGCTCCTTTCGCTGTAAGACGATTCTTTATGTCCTGTTTTGTAAGGCCCTTAACACTCAATATTGAGTTTCCCGTCGCTATAAACCCGCATTATGATTTGCGATCGAAAATCTGAAAATAATGCATCATTTTGAAAAATTCCATATAACATTTTTTTAATCACACTTTCAGTAAATTTCTATAAATTTATTAACATAAAGGAATCTTGCAAATGAATAATGAAATAATTGCCTCATTATGAGCTTTAAAAAATGTGATTGGAAACTCACCATCGGGTTCATTGGCCTATTGCCTACATACTGTACAGGTATAGTCTGAACAGCCTATACATCATGGAGCGCTGTATAAACGGCAGCTAGGCTAAAGTCAGGGTAATAATAAATGCGCCTCGGAATAGAATTATCTAGATAGATGGCGCTATAGAAATGCCTATTATTATTATTATTATTATTTCATGGTTTCATGATCCCTTGATATTTTGTCAAAATAGAGCTGTGGCAAAGATTTTTGTCCTCTCCCAACCTTACTCAATTAAGAAATACATCAATGTGATAATGAGGAATTACTACAGTTTATTCCTTTGTACATGTTTATTTTGAGAATTATACTTCTTTTGGAGTAGAGCGGTGTGTACTTGTATAGATCTATGCATCAATTATGAGTTACAAATGCGAGAAAAACAACAATGCATGTCAACTAGAAAAACTAAACCAAAAAGTTCTCTCCATTTGTAACAGGGTCTCTCCTCAAGAGTCACATTTACTTTATTGTAATAGTGTGGGTACATTTTGTGCGTATATTGCTATTTCACAAAATAGATCATTTCAAAAGAAAATGTATGTGGGGGTCAGCCAAAGTCTTTTCCGCAAACTGTACGCACCTCCCCACTCCCCAGTCTCTCCTCCCTCTCCCTCTCCCTCTTTTCTTCTCACTCTCTCCCTTCTCATCTTTATATTCACATTGATCTCAAACTAATTATCTCTCTCTCTTTCTACCCTGTCTCTCTGACTTTATTCCCATATATTTGTAGAAATCAAACTAATTATTTCTCTCTCTCTCTCTCTCTCTCTCTCTCTCTTTCTCCCCTCCCTCTTTTCTCCCACCATCTCCCTTTCTACCCTCTCTCTCTGTCTTACTCACAAAAATCTCAAACTAATTATCTCCCCTCCCCTCTTCTCTTTCTCCCTCTCCCTTTCTCCGATCTCTCCTCTCTCTCTCTCTCTCTCTCTCTCTCTCTCTTATTCTCTTGGATATCAAACTATACAAATAGGTAAATGTATACACGTACAATGTTTTGTGTACCAGTACGTACATTACATGACATATAAAGTATGTGGGCTTGAAAAGAACTTCCTTATAGTACATGCCACGGTTTTATGGTACCCTTAAATCTGTTATTTCCCTTATCCCTGCTGGTGGCTATGAGAAACTCGCACACACTCTTTGAATCACCGTGATTAACACATGCCAGGAAATTGTAACCAACAGTGTTTGTTGCCATGGTAACCCTAGGCCTATGCTTGAGGTTGGTTTTCTTCTCCGCTTACAAAAAAAACAAAACAGTCTGCTCCATCATCGTTAGAATGGTAGGATATTATTATTATTCTTCTTCTTCAACATAATATGTATACACGTATGCATCTTGAAAAGGTCAAGTATTATTATAAGATGATGTGAGATGAAGAATTTGCCTCAGACTATGAATATTACGATGAGATGATTGCTAGAAGATTATTTTTTTAAAAGGCATTCAACTTTCAAGCTTTGCTGTCTTCATCCACTCATCTATGTTTGTTTTCAATACTGAATGATTTTTCATTGAGATTCTTTGAATCATTGTATATATATCCTTTATCTTCCTATCTATATTACTATCTCTCTCTCTCTCTCTCTCTCTCTCTCTCTCTTTCTCTCTCCCCTCCTTCTCTACCTTCCTCCCACTCTCTCCCTTCACTCGTAAAAATCTGTATAAACCATCTCTCTCTCTTTCTCTCTCTCCCTATCCTAAAGTTTCTCCCCTCTTTCTGTATCTTATTTTCATAGATCTCAAACTATATATACCCTCTTTCTCCCTCTCTCTGTCTCCTCACCCTATCTCTCTCTCCCCTCTGTCTCTCTCCCCCTCTCTCTCTCTCTCTCCCTCTTATTCATAATATCCATCTAAATCTACATGTATATCTTACTCCATCTTTCACACTCCCTCCACAAGTATCTCTATCATCATTAGAATAATAAGATATCATATTTATTCATTCCAACTCCAAGAGGTTCATTGTAGATACATGTATTCAACAATATTCTTGGAATTATTGAAGATATTGTCTTGAAAAGGTCAAATGTTATTTAATAGAGGCAGGATATTGAATCTAACTCTCCTTATTGCGTACAGATTATTGCCAGATAAAAATGGTTTGTATGATGGCTGAATTCAAATATCATCCGTTTGGAGCCAGAAGGGCATTGACCCTCTGTTAAAGTATATGAGTTATAGCCCTTTTTTTTCTTCAAACAGACAATATTGTCTGGTTGAGTCGTAGAGCCATAAGGGCATTAATCTCTGTGTTAAATGGATATGAGTTGAAGTTCTTTCCGCTTTAAGCCAATATTATTAGAAATAAAGTGCACTCAGACTTGGCTGCATTCATCCATACCTACTTACAATACATTCCTTGAATTTCATTCTCCCGTCCTCTCTGTATTGCTATTCTTTTGATTATTATACCTCCCTTTCTACCTTTTCTCCCCTTTCTCTCTTTACTCCTCTTTCTCTCTTTTCTCCCCTTTCTCTCTTTGTCCCCCTCTCTCTTGTCCCCCTCTCTCTCTTACCTGTATATGTTTACAGTTTGCTTAAAAAAAGTAAACAACTCACTATCTGTCAAAGGCATTTAACCTACAGGATAATGAAGAAATAATAATAAATACCTTTAAATAACCTTTTAAAAAAACAATGGGCTGAAACTGAGAGAGGAAGCTATGAAAGTTTGCTTGGATAAAAATAAATTTTCATGGAACAACAGTTTCAATTCTTGGCAACATTTCACCCGTGTCATATTCATGTACATGTATGAAGGAATATCTCTTATCTTGCTAAAGTAGGCCCATATATTGGCTTTTTTTTGGGGGGGGGGGTGGGGGATACATGTATGAGGATTTATGTTTAACTCATTGAGAGATATAGCACGTGTACATGATTTCCAAATTACATAAATTATACACACAAAAACAAATATTTAAAAAAAAGAAAAAAAAGAGAGGAGTGTGACAAGATGAAACATGTACAGTTAACAACTAAATTATTCATTTATCCACAAATATGTTTGAATAATTTAATTAATTATTCATACCTTTCCAAGTTTTTTAAATTTTCAAGTATATTTCTTGTGAATGTGGCATATTAAAACTGACATGTACATCAAAACGTATTCAACCAGTCCACCGTTATGAAAAACACCACCCCCCCCCCCCACAACCCATAAAATTTACAAGGGGGTGTGCATAATTCTGTTGTTGTTAACTATATATTGTACATGTACATGACAAAGTACATGTCCAATGTAGCTTATCAAATATGTCAATTTCAGTAAACAAATATAATCCAAGCCTATTAAAGTAGGTTAGTACATGTACTCTACCTACTGAAATCTGCTTATGGCCATTTGTTACGCATGGTCCAGTGGATATTTATTTCAATAGGATTCTCCTGTACATTTAAAGGATAGCTCTGGACAATAATGTAGAAACAAAATAGGAGATTTTAGCTGTGCAGTTTTGTCCTATACAGCAGGTTTTTGTTCAGTCTAGTGGGTTTTTCCGCAGGTACAGTTAACAACTGATTAATCATGCCCTTTACTAAATTTGGCAATTTTTAAGTAACCAGTAGGTGGAAAATTGATTGATTTTTGTTTTCTTTTTTCTTTCTGATTTATGTTTATTGAGAAGGTGACGTGTCAAAGCTTAAATATAAAAGTACTCAATCAAGGCCCTAGTTCATCCAGTCCACTTTTCATTCTTGAGTTTATACAGAAAACACAAAAAACATCAAATTAATGAGGGGTATGAATAATTAAGTTGTTAATGTACGTTAGGCAAGTAGTTGTCAACCGTGCGGGTACTCGAGCATTTGACTACCCGTCGCAGCCTTTGTGTACATTGTCCAATAATATATTTTTGTTTTCTTTGTTCGCCCCTAACAGAATCAGAGAACTCCTTGCCCGATCTGACCAACAGCCCATGCCTCATTCTCGGTGGGTGTCAAGGATTTAGTAGGTGCTGATAGAGGGTTGGGTAATGGCCACTGCAGAGTCCACCACCGACAACCCTCCCAACATCTCAGTGACAGTTCCTAGCAGCCCGGAGGAACTGCCGTCGCCTGTCACCAAGGAAGAGTCGCCCAGGATACCCAAAGACAGCGGGAGGAATGGAGGAAAGGGAGGACGAAGGGGAAGCGGAGATGGCTGCGGACTAAACGGGACGTCACCGTCGGGCCTCGACGACTCGCCTGGCTCCAAGAGCCAAAGCGGAGAGAGCACAGGGGATGGCGACAAGGGAAGTCCTGGACCCCATCTCTCCTTGGACACGACTTTAAAGAGTGTTGATTCCCTTGGGACATTGACTAGCCAGTGTAGCATCGGAGACGGCGACACCAGTAGCCTGACCAGTGGGGCTAGTAGCCCAGAGGCGACTAGCTCCAGCAGTGGGAAAGTGGAGGCGAAGCTGGGCAAGATCGAGGTTATTCGAGCAAGTACGGAGGAAGAACTGGTAGCAAAGATGGAAGAACAAAATAGGTAAAGTACACTTCATGAGATGAAAATAATGATAATAATAATTGTCTTGTCTGTAGCTTATTCCTGTCTCACCTTGTCTGTACCTCCTTCATGTTCTTTAATTCTTTCTATCTCTTCTTGCACATGTTTACAGCTTCATGGTCATAGCATTTTCAACTTGACATGTACTCTGTATTGTAGATTTAATCTCCTTCATAACAACCCATATGCCCCCCTCCCTTGTTTTGCTAATCTTTGCATTCTTCAAAGTAGATTTATTTCATCTACGCAGAAAATGAAATGTAGATATCTCTACCCTTACAGGAAACACTGTACAAGTACATCTACATTGTACAGTAAAAAAGCAAACAGAATTAATGCCAGCTGAATGTAAATGTTGATTACGTTCAAACAAAAGCTCCTGTTTCTATGGCAACCTTTCTAAAAAATTATTGACTTTTGTATCGTTATTTGCCCACAAACACTACTTTGACAGTACCAATCATTCAGATGTTTTTGTGTGATGTTTTGGTAGATGACACAAATATTTTCATCTGTCATGGATGTCATGTTTGCTGAAAATCACAAGGTAAACTAAAAATTTGATTGATAAATGAGAAACAACAAATAAGAAAGAAATGTAAATTTAGGGTGTCGCCCTGTAAAATTGTAAAATATGATGAGTACACTGTATGAGCAAGGCAAATTTCAATCTATATGAAACCAATATTTCAATATTTACAGAGGAAGCAAATCTTTGGACAGCAATAATAATATAATCAACAGAAATCTAACCAAATATATGTATCAATGTCAGGACATTTTACCATATCATAAATATGTTTATCATGTTTTTATGATTCATACAAAGCTTTCAGTAAGTATTATAAAGTCAGACTTTGAGACTTAAATTATGAACAAATGGCCTCTATCTGCAGTGGCTTGGTAAAAGTTATGGTCTAAACTCTCCATGATCCTTCAGTTAATTAAGATTGTCACAAGTCCAAATCTAATAATGGCTCCAGGGTATGTCATAAAAGACTAATAGACCAGATCATAGCCAACTGTAGTTGGCTTTAGACTCCATGCCATATGGTATGTGCATATTTGTACTTGCATTAAAAACATGATAATGTATCTATATTAAGAAATCATTTCATAGATTCTGATTAAGATGATAAAGGAAATTATCACTTGGCACGCTTCAATTATGATTTAAAAAAAAAAAAACTTTATTTTTGGTGGGGGGGGGGGGGTGTGGAAAATGCTAGTGGACAAATTTTATTACCCCTACATCTAGGCCAAATGATTTTGCACACACGTACATGTAGGTACATGTATATCCTAAGTATCTGATGCTAATCCTAAATTGTTCTTATATCAAGTTGGATAAACCCACATACAGTACTTGAATCATGAATTAATTAAGCCCAATTTTATTGCGCATGTGTTAAAAGATTCGCTACATTTATATGCATGTATCCACTACACACTAAAGCAACCTTTAGCTAGTATGGTGCATGCATATGAGAGCTAACAGGTGGCTCGATTCATTCATAGCCCAGGAATGCCTGTAATTATGAGTTCATCATGAGGTCTCCAGGGCCAGTCCGAAAGGCCTGTCATCATCAGCTCAAGTTTGCCAAATTACCCGCTACTTTAACTATCCCGATCGCAAATTATCCAGCTAATTTGTGTCTTAATCAGCCCGCAGTTGCATTTAGTGGAATAATTGGTCAAGAAAATATCTCAAGCAATCTTGGTCTTGTTTCCTAAGTATCCCGGTATTTGGGAAATAGCGGGATAATTTTCGCCCGTCTCCATCAGACTGAAGTACGGAGTCAACTTCTCGATCACACCCTGCACAATGATTTCCGGTTTTCTGTGTTTGTAAATAAACCGTACGTTTGTGTACGGTCGGAAGCATAGCACATGCGGTCTGTCGTCGACGGAAAATAGCTGGTTATTTGGAAAACTCGAGCTGATGAGGACAGGCCTCCTGAGGTCTCCAGGGCCAGGCCAAGAGGATTCTGATCATCATAAGGATAAATCCATATCTTTGGTGATTCATTTGCTGGCTGGGCCGGGTAAACAGATGGCGTACATTTGTGTACTTGTAGGGATAAAACGTCCAAGGCCCTGGTTCAAAATGTTGATTGATCGTAAATTGAGTAATACTTTTCTTTGCAATGCACACACACTCACTCATACATGTATGAAAACATATGCCAAAATCATGAGTATTTCCACGCTTAGCGTAGTCAAGGAAAGTTGCATGTTATCCATTTAGGAGTGCTGTCAAATGTTTTGAGAGATAAAAATGCTTCGAAGTCTTACCGCTATGCTGAGCATCGGGTAAGTGCCAAGTACTACAACTTTTCTAAAGAGGGGCTGGACAGTTACACCAGGATTTTGTACCTTTTTAAAACAATACAACTCATGGTTTATTTTGGTAACTTCGGTAACCCCCTCCCCCCCCCCCCCCATCATAAAAAATTTGTACCATGTGATGACTGAAGTACATCAGCTATAAAGTACATGTACTGTATGTCTTCATGTACATGTATGTAAGTGCCATGAGCGTTACTGTGTGAAGAATATGAGCGCCATTCACTTTCAGTGACTATTACTTGAATTCATATGGCCAATGTTTGTTTTTAATTTCATACTGGCAGAACAGTGTGAGGACATTTTCAACAAGTTTTATTCCAATTTCCTCTTCGCTCTTTAAAAGAACTGGAGATTACCTTTCAGTTTGTAGTGGCAATAATATTGATACTCCTTATGTTATATTGACAAGATACGGAAATAAATACACGTATACATTGTAATGTTCCCTACTATAGTACCATGTGATGGCTGTAAATTAAGTACATAAAACTTTGGGTGAACATGTAGAAAGAATCATCTTGGTTTCATTAGCTCTAGTTGCCAAATAGCCCGCTATTTCTGATTCGAGAAATTATCCCGATCACGAACTAGTGGGCAATTTGGCAGATGAGACACAAAGATATCTTGGGCTAGTTTGCAAAATAGCCCGCTATTTGTCCGGTCCGTCTTCACCAGCCCGGAGACTCGCACTATGCGCAAACACTGAGCAAATTTCTCGAGCTCGAGGTTTGAGCTGATGAAGACGCGATTTGTAACTTCGGGCTAATATCCCAATCAGGAAGAGCAGGCTATTTGGCCAACTCGAGCTGATGCAGACAGCCTATCGTATTTTAATTAACATCGTTTCCTCTAGATATTATACCAGGTTGTAGAATAGTAAGACATAAATAGCACGAGCTTAAATGTTTACCAGATGTTCTTTGAGGAAGCTTTAGTAGTAATTTGAAGCGTACAGCAGGATCTCGCCATTTAAAGGTACAGGTTTTTAATAATGTTGCATAATCATGTAGTCCTTCAACATACTGTACAAGTACCTGTGTCTTACAAATATACATGTGTAATTTTAAACAGAAAGTGATTAGCACTGTTTAGCACATACAGGTACAGTCAAACCTGTCTATAGCGACCAACCAAGGGAAACACAAAAAATGGTCTTTGTAGACAGGTGGTCTTTGTGGACAATAGTACATGCTTCAATGAGAAACCATTTTCAAGCGAAACAAAAAACGTGGTTGTTGTAGACAGGTGGTCACTAAAGCAGGTTTGACTGTACATGCACAGTGTATTTGAATTTTGAAGTAAAGTTGATGAATAAATATGTAATAAGGTGTTCATGAAGCATGTGTGGAAATATTTTGAAAGACAAATATTGACTTTTCATTGACTAACAGCTGCAGAATTCTAATGATTGTGTAATAATATTCATTCATTAACAGTGTATTTGAAGTAATCTCTAATTTGAATTTTGAAATAAAGTTAATAAACTTTTATGAATATGTACACTCTACATGTACATGAAGCACGTGTGGAAATATTTGAAAGATAAATATTGACTTTTCATTGACTAACAGCTGAAGAATTCTAATGACTGTTTAATATTTATTTATTAACAGTGTATTTGAAGTACATGTAAGTTCTAATTTGAATTTGAAGTAAAGTTAATAAACTCATATGAATGAATATGTACTACATGTATTGACATGTACATTTGTTATTGTACAGTACATGTGAAAATATTTGTAAGGTAAATATTTACTTTTCATTGACTAACAGCTGAAGAATTTTAATGACGGTTTAATGATCATTGAGAGGAAGGTCATTCATTGCGCTTAGATTTGAGTTGATTTAATTTTGTTCTAGATTTATACAATTCATACATACATGTACATTGTGTACCGGTATGCATAATAGTACAGTTAGTTTACCATGTACACAAATAAACATATGGCATGTTTTTCTAATTAAAAAAATGTTCATATGTAATTTATTATTACCCGTATCAGACATCTGAGCTGGTCATTTACAAAACCGTATTGCCCTAGTTTTCACTAGCAGTGGGAACGGAGGGGTATATTCTTTGTATTTTCCTTGGTCTCCCTGCGCGTATTGACTTTGCGTGTAGAGACGAGTGAAAATATACCTTGGTATTTTCCACGGTCTCGCATCCGGGCATCTTGTATTGACCGCGCCGTATTTTGTCATTTTCATTGCGCATCTATTATGCGTACGAGAACCTACGCAATCTATTGTGACGTAATAATCACACCTAATGCACACTGTTTGCAGTGTATCGAAAAAAAATTCAAGCACTGGATGCACAGTGCTGGTTTGAAAAAGTTTGTTCAGTTCTTGAGATTGTCATGGTGGATTTCTGTATTTGCTCTAGATGTCTGATTTGGATAACAATAAAAATATTGACTGGCTTTACTTTCGGGGGATATCAGAAATATTGACCGCGCTAAGACCATATTGCCCTCGTCTTTCTACTCGGGGCAATATGATCTGAGCTTGGTCAATATTTCTGATATACATGTACCCCTCAAGGCCAGTCAATATTATATAAATATCTGATTAATTAGCTGATAATAGACTGTACATGTCCAATGTACCTGCAAATGAAGGTTTGGCCTACATGTTCATGTTTATTTTTCATCTCTCCCTCTCTCTCCCTCTCTCTCTCTCTCTCTCTCTCTCTTGCACTTTCATTTTCATTGCAAATCTTATAGATAAAGCACTTAGAAAGTATGAATAAGCACGGTATACAAATTCATTATTATTACTATTAGATGTATTATCATAGAAACCTGTACTGCAAGACATACTACAGTTCCTACAAAGGCCACATTTATTTCCTCTCTAGATTTGGTATGTGGTATTCATATCCAAGTTTCACTTTACTTTTTCTCTTTCATTTCCAACCATTGTCTGGTGTCGGAATCTTTCTAATTTCTTCAGATTCAACTGTATCTGCTACACATCCTCACTCCCCTGCCCCTCTCTCTTTCTCTTTCTCTCTCTTTCCCTCACTCTTCCTCTGTCTGTAATAGATAGTTTATTCCTCAGCACTACATCCTGACTTATGGATCCTGCTGAGTATCGTCGTAGAAGTAGAAGTAGAAGTAATAATAATAATAATAATAATCATTAAACGTTTTTGTGTATCGCATGTAACACATCTAGATGTCGGCATAATTTCATATCTCTATGCACAGAATAGCATACAGAAGGACTCGAGGGGAAATGGTGCACTGGGTTCCTAATTGTGAGATCTCACAAAGTGCTAAATAGATACCTGTATGTTTTCAAATTACCAAAGCCATTTCAAAGCCAGTAATTCTATAAAACAGCAGCTGCTAGTATATGAAAATGACCTTTCCCAATAAGATTTCGTCTCAGTTTGTGGAACATAAAATATTTCTGATTTTCTGTAAATGATCTGTCAGTCAGTTTTCCTCCCCAATACGGTCACTGATTAGCATGGCCATGTCGGGTTCAGGTAACCAAATCAGAAGCTTGGTTTTTATGCAGGTACAGCTCTGTCGTGTTTACCAGGTACACAACGTTTGCAAGAAGCTCATACATGTACATTGCCTTCCACTTTCATTACACATTTGCTCGCAACTCAGTCTGAGCTGAGCCTGAGGAGCCAAGTTAAATACATGTATTGCTGATTTGCACTTGGGCAAATGAAAATAAAAACCAGTACTACTTGTATCGTATGTACATGTACTCTATGTGGAAGTGTAGAACCTCCTACACACATTCAAGGTCTGAATTTATATGTGCTTTAAGACTATCCCATTAGGCTCCTGTACATGTACATGTACATGTAGCTGGTCCGTACTGCAAATTGACAAAATTAGGCCAGGCTATATAGGCTCTAGGCACTTTGAATTTGTTTTTATTGACAAATTGAAGTCCGAGCCTGTAGACTATACATTTTATAAGCATTGTTCTGTATATGGGGTTAAACAATATGAGAGAAAGAAAAAGACCTTTAAAGAAATATTTTCAAAAAATCATTAATTTTTTTTAGACAGACACATAGTACATCATGGATATTATTTTTCCCCAAATATTCCTTTGAGTTTATATGCCTTTATCCTTCTTTTTGCTAGCATATTGACTCAAGTCATTGTTTTTATACAATGTAAATTGGGGTTATTCAGGCTTTAAAAAGAAAATAGTAGTTCGGAAATTGAAATTAAATCCCACACCCATTTACATACATTGTAAATGTTCTACCAAAGTCTCAAAACAGCATGTCGTGGTGTGAGAACCGTTGGGCCATTATAATACACGAATGAATACATTTAATCTTATAATTTAATCATGATGTTATCATAAAAAAATACAATGGACAATTCAACATGGCTCATGAAAGAGAGAACATGTACAGCATGTAATGTGCCAATTATGATATGCATGACTAGAAAATATGACTTTGTATCCTACGAAACTATTGTAAAGATCCTGATCAACATGCAGTTAAAAGGACTTTATTTGTTATGGGTGTTCACATGTGTTTTTGTTGTTGTTGCAATCATCCGTGAAAGGTGAAATTTTTCTTTGAATTTGCATTTATTACTGGTGAGAAGAATAGGTTGATATTTATACTGCATTGTGTTATTAATAATAAAAATAATAATAATAATAATAATATTTTACAGTATTATTACAACCTTCAGCACAAAAACAATAAACAAAAGTAAATACACTGTAAAAGTAGAATGCAAAGTTATTGAATATTGACAGAATTCTTTTTAAGTTTGCAAATGTTGATAATGGTGACTGTACCATGTAATGTAGATGTGCAAACATGTAGATATGGAAGAAAACAGATTACACAATACTGCTTTTAATTTTGTCACCCACCCCCCCCCCCCCCCCCCCTCCCCCACCAGGGATGATAAAAGGCACATTTTTGTGTAGGCTACATAAGGAGTCTATAGGCTTGTCTTCACTATCTCAAGATTGCCAACTATCCAGCTAATTTGCGTCTTCATCGGACCGAAGTAGCAATTAGAAGGATATTTGGTCAGGAATGTCATCCCAAGATGTCTTGGGATAGTTTGCAAAGTATCCCACTATCCCACTAGGGGAGAGGAAGAGAGAGAGAGAGAGAGAGAGAGAGAGAGGGGGAGAGTAGTTTCATTAGTATTAATATTGTTCTTCCTGAGGGCCCTGCCATTTTATTATTATCCCATAGATGCAGATGCACTGTAGCTTCCAAAAGCCAAAATACAGGCTCACAATAACCTTAAATATTCATGTGCATGCTTCCTTTGTTATCCCTTCTACAGGCGATTAGAGGCAGACTCCAAGTCCCTCAAGTCAGTCAGGTCATCCCGACGAGGTTCCAATGCCAGCCAGCAGTCCACCAGCTCTTCCACCAGTAACCTTAGCAGCCAGGCGCTTAACAACAGCAGCGGGAGTGGAGGAGGTGGAGGAGGGGCAGGAGGAGGGGCAGGGAGCGCCGACCTAGGGCCGGAAGATGAAGAGAGTATTAGCATGCAAGACCAGTGGCTGGTCTGGGGAAAGATCGTGAACGACTGGGATGAATACACAAAGAAGAAGAGTAAACAAATAAAGGTAAGAATTAAAGGAGGAGGAGAGAGAGGGTAGGAGGAGGGGCGGGGCAGGAGGAGGGGCGGGGCAGGAGGAGAGGCGGGGTGTGCTGATGGAGGGCCGGAAGATGAAGAGAGTATTAGCATGCAAGACCAGTGGCTGGTCTGGGTAAAGATTGTGAACGACTGGGACGAATACACAAAGAAGAAGAGCAAACAAATAAAGGTAAGGGTTAAAGGAGGAGGAGGAGGGAGAAGGGGTTAGGAGGAGGAGGCGGGGCAGGAGGAGGGGTGGGGAGTGTTGATGAACGGCCGGAAGATGAAGAGAGTATTAGTATGCAAGACCAGTGGCTGGTCTGGGGAAAGATCGTGAACGACTGGGATGAATACACAAAGAAGAAGAGCAAACAAATAAAGGTAAGGGTTAAAGCTCCACTGCATTACTAAAAGCTACTTGCGCCCTCTATATATCAAACAATGCTAGATGAGGAGTTTGAGAAGGATACGAGACGATGATTATGGTTATGGTAGTAGGAAGGGGTGGGGAACACCTACTTTAATTGTCTCATAATGTGAAAGAGGATTTCAATTAAGACACATTTCTGGAAGGATTTTCACAACAAATGTGTAATGAAAGAATACAAAATTCAGGTTTTCTGCGTACTACAGAAAATCCAAATTCGGGGCTCCCAACACTTTAGAGGGGCTTTAACTTGAAAAATTGAAATCTCTGAAGAGTACTATGATAACTCAATCCAGAAGGAATATACAGATATGTTGAGTAAAAAAACAACCTACATTGTAAAACAGATTAAGCATGGGATTAAGACCCTTTAATCCCAGATTACAATGCTGTTTACAAAATCAAAGATATTATGCTGGTTGGTAGTGGTATTTATCCAGTATCAATATTGAGGTTAGGAAGGATTTGTGTTGTTTATATACAAAAGATAAAAGGCCCGACCTTGTAATAGTGATATTGACTATTTATTTGTATTTGCAAATGTGCTAGTAATACAGGGTACATGTATGTACGTACATGAACAGAAGGACATACATGTACCTATGTTGACTGACCCAACTCATGCACAGTTTTCATTGTTCAATGAGCAAATTTGTTTTGGAACATTGCCAATTTGATGATCTCCTCTTGAAAGGTGAGAGAAATTATCACATAGGATTAGGAATGTTGATGATTATTGCCATCACCAATATGTTCAGTTCAGTTTATTTCAGTTCAGTCTTTATTTCATTCTCAATAAAAAAAAAATTGTACATAAAAAAATACACAACAGAGCAAGACCAATATAAGTCAATACAGAACACTTAAAACAAAAACAAATTATGAGAATGAGGGGTCAAAAAAAGAGAGCAAATACTGTAAAAGTAGAAATATTTGCGGTACATTAATTTTCACTGATTTTGCGCTAAGATCGGCAAGCACAAATTTTAGAACTAGGGAAAATATATTAAAGTATGACTTCTTATTCATGTTTTGAACAGGCTGAATAGCATGCAATATAAATTTTAGAACTAACGGATATGTTTTGGGGTCGCTCAGCGCGAACAATTAATCACACAAAAATAACAGCGTTTAGAGTAGCCTTATAGTACGTTGACCGCAAAATTAACAATACATACATACAGTACATATATGATTATAACAAACGTACAGACAAACTAATAGAGCAAAGAAACAAGCCTGCAATATGTACATGTATGTCACATAGGGGAAAAAAACACTTTGTTTATTAGTTTATACCCAACAACTCACAGGCATAAAAGGTAGCCAACCTTTTGTGTGGTCATACATGTACAGTATACCTTGTGCTGGAAATATAGTAAAACAACAGAAAATTATTATAATGCGTGGGATTAAGGCCAGATTAAGAAGATTATATTGATGAGACAGTCAAAAGTACAATTTCCAAGGAACTACAGTTGTACATGCATTTAACTTTGAAAATGACCCAGCCTCCCCTAAGTGTCATGGCAGAAAGCCAAGAAAACAACATATGAGTGGACTATGTTAAATATAAACAGTCATACATGTAAAAGAAAAATTATGATAATAATTATATGGTACATGTAAATGCTTTAACTATTGACAATTGGACAAGTTAAAGAAAGAAAAAGAAGAAGCTTTGTTTAACGGTACGCAATGTGTTAACAGACGGTTTGATGGCTGATAATTTTCCAATACTCTGTATGTTACAATAGTGTAGAAGAGATAAAAGAGACATTTATATCACAGACGGGGACTTACTTTATTCTAGATGTGAAGTCGTACACAACAAGTTTAGCTTCCTTACACTGACTTCACAAGTTCTCTGGACCAATTGCTAATCTTCATGATGGTATAAGAGATCCTGCCTTCCTAATATGGATTATGATGATAATAGTAATAAAGACAGATGCTCTGTATACCTGCTTCATTTTATTAAGTAAGTTGGTAACACATAAAGCCATGCGGACGTTAGCGGTTCTAAGACACCTACCCCCTGGACATCCACCCCCCGGATAACCACCCCCAGTCAACTACCCCCTAGAACAACTACCCCCACGACAACTACCCCCGAACAACTAACCCCTAGGACAATTACCCCCCAGAAAAATGTCCGGATACGTTTTTTATTGCATAACTCTGTAACTTTTTAACGTTATCATAGTCCATAATTCTTATTATTTACACTGTTCCCCTTCCCCCATCTCCTCTTCCTCCCCCTCCCCCTTATTGCAGGAGCTGGTGAGACTCGGCATCCCCCGCCATTTCCGGGGGATCGTCTGGCAGCTGCTGTGTGGCGCCTACAACTCGCCTCTCAAAGAACAATACGCCCTCTACCTCAAGATGCAGTCATCCTACGAGCGGGTGATCCGTCGGGACATCGCCAGGACCTACCCCGAGCATGAGTTCTTCAAGGAGAAGGACGGGCTCGGCCAGGAGACCCTCTTCAATGTCATGAAGGTAATACCGCTTGATGGTGTCTGAGTGACCACTATCTAGACTTATTACCTTCCAGGGCCCAGTCTTAAATGAAACCAAAACCTTCATACTAAGTTACTTTTATTGTAAAGTTTAAGATATTTGAAAAATATCAGTGACAATTTGAACAAAATCGGGCAAGGAATAAGGAAGTAAGAGCTTTTTGAAATGACTAGTCACTAGAGGGCGGTATTCAATTTGATGACATCATCTGTGGACAACTCTTCATGCCTTTTGTACATCAAATTTCATGTTTTTCCTTCTTTCTTGTGATTGAGATAATGTACTCCCCCGAAAGCAAGATATAGCATGCAAAATGATATTCTACTTCACATGTCATGAAGTCGGATCAAGAACACAAATAAATACGAAGAAAACAAAAAAATTGTGAAATTTTATGTACAAAAGGCATGGAGAATTGTTCACAGATGATGTCATCAAATTGAATACCTCCCTCTAGTGACTAGTCATTTCAAAAAGCTCTTACTTCCTTATTCCTTGCCCGATTTTGTTCAAATTTTCACTGATTTTATTCAAATCTTTTAAACTTTACAATAAAAGTAACTTAGTTTGAAGGTTTTGGTTTCCTTTAAATACAAAGGGTTGCGATTGATCTAAATCAAGCGCAAGTCCTCCCATCAATCACAAGTTTGCAGTCTCCTCTCTCTAATATGTACATAGTTGCAAATAAGTTGCGATTGATATCAACTCTTTGTAAGACAGGGCTCTGGAGTACAGCTCGTACCATCAAGGACAGTTACCCCGTGCATGACTGCCCCAAGACATCTGTTCCCTAGAACAACTTCACGTATGCCACTAGAATAAATTAACCTATATGTCCCTGACACCATTATCTATGGGTTGATTTTCGTATGGGAAATTGTGTTGGTGTTGGGTAGTTGGCCCATGGTAATTTTTGTAATCTTCAAAGGCTTCCATGGTGAAGATAGCTTTGTTTGTGGTTACACCACATATTCTTTCAAAAGTGATTAGTAGGTGAGCATGAGGTGGGCCCTTCTTTATCTGGGCCACCTAATCACTCTAGAAAAGGTACATGGTGTAATAGCAAGCTTCGCTCATATCATGGTAATTTTTTGAAGAAGTTAGTTGTCCTAGGTGCTAGTTATCTAGAAAGGAAGTGTTAAATATTTCCTCAGAGTTTGGTCTCTGCTGGGGAGATTGTATTTGGGGATTAGTTATCTGGGGGACTATTGTCTTGGGAGATAGTTGTCTTGGTTAGTTATTCTTGGAAGAGGAGGGGGGGGGTGGTTAGATACAAGTGATATAGTCCTGGGAGGTTGTCTGGGAGAATAGTTGTCACAAGGAGCAACCCAGAGTGTTGATATCATAAAATCATGCTTGATGATACACAGGAGTCCTGACATGGGGTTTGGGAATTTCCTGTCATGGAATTCAAATAGTTCGCAGACACTTACCATATTCAAGGCACTCTAGAAGGGTCTGAGCTACCATTTAAAGGAAACTTCTATACCGTCAAACCTGTTTTAACGACCACCTGTATAGAAAGACCACCTGTCTACGATGACCACTTTTCCTGTCTCCCTTGGGTGGTCTTTATAGACTAATATATCAGAATTATATTTCTTTCTAGCTGACCCTTTTCTTTGATCTTGATCCAGGCTTACTCATTACATGACAGAGAGGTTGGTTACTGCCAAGGAAGTGCCTTCATCGTTGGTCTTCTTCTCATGCAAGTAAGTTGATTTAAAGTGTTCATTCTTTAGCCTGTCAAAGAATCTCCTTTCCATGGCTGTCACTTAATGCAAATATCGACGTTGACTCGAGGCCGAGGCTTCCTTTCAATACATTTGTTGTTGTAGTGAAGCCCTAATATCCTTTTTTTAATAATTGGGTGAAGCTTTACCTATAAAGTTGATGAAAGGTGTGAAGCTTTGACAAGTAATTTGTGTTTTCTGGTGATACTACATCGGTCACATCAAAAATATGTCAAAGTTGTGGCGTTTCAAACAACTGCTGTATAACAATAAGCTGATATTTTTACGTACAGATTTTGTTTCGCGAATGACAGGCTAAAAGACATTTTTGTGAGTCGTTGCTTTTGAGAATGACACCTCTGCAGTACTTTCGTATTAAAGACCGTCAATACTACTGGGCTTGAAGGGATTAGACCACACAGCAAAGTCACTGACAGGTGGCTATCTCATTAACTCAGCTCTCAACTATAAGAAAAAGAGGATCATGGGGGACCAACAGGCACCGATTGGGGTAGTTTTCTATATAGAGGGAGCAAGTAGGTACAAGTAGAACAGTGGGGCTTTAAACACTACACCATGCCTACACTCCATGCTACACACACATACAAGCTTCACCTATGGAAATAATTCAAAGGGTGAAGCCTGGACTAACACCTTTGCCGATAGAGTGATACTTCGCCTATGCTTTTTGTAAAGCAAGTGAAGTGGTGGTGAAATTCTGACCTTATGAATAATTGGCTCAGGCGAAGAAAGGTGATGACTTGAGGAGGCTGGGTCCAGGCTTCAAGTTGACGCCTGCATGAACTGTTCATTTGGTTTGCTTGGTATACATTCTTGATGATTGATTAGGGTATTCAACTTTCAATTGCCATGTACAGTGAACTGAATAAGATAATAATAATACTAATAATATTATTATCATTATTATTTTTATTATTATTATTATTATTATTATTATTATTATTATTATGAATAAGATTTATATTTCATTTAACTGTTTTCTTCTTTGCTTACCTAGATGCCAGAGGAAGAGGCCTTCTGTGTTCTCGTCAAGATAATGCAGGAGTACGGAATGAGAGAACTCTTCAAGCCTAACATGGCCCACCTTGGTCTCTGCATGTTCCAGTTTGAATGCATGATTCAGGTTGGTATACGTCTTTTATTATTATGTACAGTCAAACCTGCTTTAGCAAACACCTGTACATAAAGACCACCTGCCTATAAAGACCTTTTTTTCTTGTCTCTCTTGGGTTGTCTTTATAGACAGGTTTCACTGTATTTGGCATCACCTGTGCCTGGGAGGCGAAAAGCAAACTGAATCACTGTAACCCTCTGGTCTCTTCTTCCGGTATAAGTGATTGGGGGTGTGAAGGTGGACCTCTACACCGGTGTTTCCCCCTACTCTTTTACAAATAGTGTAGTGGTTTCTTAATGTCCTCTACATGGGGGGCTCCATTTAACGTCTTATCTGAGAGTGCCCAGGATATAAGTAGTCGGAACGTCATCATCAATAGGGTCACAAAGGGTCAGTCATGGCTCGTAGGATGACGACGACACTATGCCTGCTTCCTACTTTGACCTTATTGGAGAAGCCATTTGTTTCTATCAATGAGAATAGTAGAAAGACACTACCTTGATCAAAACTGTGACAGTAAAAGTCTAATGCTAGAAACAGCTAGATACAGGAGGTGTGCGAGAAGCCACTGTAATCATATTATCATCAACATCATCATCATCACTAGTTTATGTTATACTTCTTTAATCATCCACCCCCTCCCCACCGCTATCACACTATCAAGCAAGTGCTTACAGTGATAGCCCTTCTTCTACAGATTTCTTAATGAATAATTCTCAGTAATGTGTTATCAGTTACATTTTGTTTTAATGTCAACATTTCTATTAATACTATGTTGTGTACACGTTAAAAGATTTGTTATATTTCGTATATGTTGTGTCGCTAAAATATAATTTGATATTTTTATGTTGCAGTAGAAAATAAATGCAATTCAATTAAATTCCAAAGTTGACTTTTGTTTCATCTACAGGACCTCTTACCAGACCTATTTAAACACTTTACGGCGCAGGGCTTCCACACATCAATGTACGCGTCGTCATGGTTTCTTACACTTTTTGCCGTCTGCTTGCCAATCTCGCTCTCCATGAGAATCATGGATCTCTTCATCTCAGAAGTAAGTCTTGTGTTACCCAGACTGGTAAAGCTCTATGTCTAGGGTACCATGTTGATATCATTTTGTTTTTTATAGCTTGTGAATACAAGTTAAAGCTAATCTTGAACTCTGAAATCGTATGTCAAGAGAACATGGCTGTAATTTGTTCTGGATAGTTTATCCTGCAGTAGATTGATTGTTTGAACAAACAAACTCACAAAAATTGCTGGAAATCATCTTCGATAAAAACCACCACTCTCATTTGCACATAGTGACCTGTGTTAAGCCTAGGGTGTCGGGCCTACTTACCTTGGTCTCCTTATATTTTATGCTCATTACTCAGTCCCTATACATTTACTAACAAAATCATTTGGCACGTGTCATTTATTTGTAATCTTGAACATTCAGAGTAAGTTTTGTTGGATTCTGTAAGAATTATTTTCTATCATTACCAGAACTCATGCTTTAATTGTGATACAAATAATAGTCTAAACACAGGTGAAAGTAGAATGCACATATTTGTGCATTTGAGTAGACCTGGGAGGTGTTTCACAAAGATTCTAAGTCGAACTTATCTCTAAGTTGGACTTAAATATTATGGGAAACCATTAGCATCCTTGAAAATATTTTGTAAATTTCTTTGTAGAAGGCATAAAATGTTGATTCAAATCATTCATATTTCCTATTATCATGGGAGATTTCATGTTCTTGGCGTGGAATTTATAAAAAAGTCTAAAACACTTGAATTTCTGCTTTTGGATATATTTCATTTTAAGGCTCCAATGGCTGTCCATAATTTTTAAGTCCAACTTAGTGTTAAGTTCTAATTAGGATCTTTGTGAAACACCCCCCAGTTGATACAAGTACATACATTACACACAACGAGAAGTGAAATTCATAGGTAATAGTTCTGGTAGCGAAAAGGTGTTAAGATGAAACTGGGTCTCATATTGTTCCAAAACTAAAGATAAATGTGCTAGATATTTTTATATTCTGTCCATGAACCTTGATGAATTCTTGATCAAATTTCAGGAAAAATCCTTGTAAATTGAAGTTAAGGTTACCATTCTGTAAAGATCCTCGCTTGCTCTTTATCTGTCTGTCTGTCTCTCTCTCTCTCTCTCTTTCTCTCTCTCTTTCTCTCTCTCTCTCTCTCTTGCTCTCTCTTTCTCTCTCTTTCTCTCTCTTTCTCTCTCTTTCTCTCTCTTGCTCTTTCTCTCTGTCCGTTTTTTACAGTACAAGTATGTCACTGCCTATTTCTTCGCCTATTTTTGTCCCTATCTGTTTGTATGTGTGTCTCTGTCTCTCTGTTTCTGTCTGTCTCTCCCTTCCTGTCTGTCTATCTATTTCACACTCTCTCTCTCTCCATCCATCTATTTCTCTTCTCTTCACACTGTTTTCACATTTCCTCTTAGCTGTGACTAGTTTAACGTATCTCCTTATTGATAATGAAATCTCTTTTTTTTTTATTCTCATAGGGTATGGAAGCTATATTTAAGATAGGAGCAGCCATGCTTCAACTCAACTGTGAAGATCTTCTGAGACTGGACATGGAGGAAATGTTAAGGGTAAGCTTCATCAGAAGTTTAATAATAATAATGGTATGCATTTAATTATCATCATCACATCTCGAGAGCTGAATTACGAATGACTTTACAATAAAAAGTGCATGAACTTAATTAATTACAAACGACGTAAAACATAAACATAAACAGATATTTCCTCATAAAAGTTGGAAGGGTTATTACGTTAGAACAGGAAAATGTATTTATAACAAATTAGGCTTGAAATGGAAATAGTAAAGGAGAAGTTGAGTTCCTAAATACTGATTCAGTTTATATAATCAAAGTAAATGTTGTAGATTACAAAAATAGTTTGAAGAGGTAACATATTGTTTTGGCTGCATTTAAACACGATAACACAACATTGAATATGGGTCATTAAATATTAGGGTGAAAGAAACTTTCGAGAGGTTATTTAAAGTGTAGAATTGTATAGATTATAAAATAGGAAATGTGTTTGAGAGGTTTCTGAATCGTCCAAAGTATTACAAATTCACAGATCATGCTGAAAGTCACCGACAATAAAAAATGCATGACATGGATGAGAAAACATTGTAGGACAAAACTTTTTTAATTTGGTTACATTAGATGCCTATAAGGCATAGAATTGCATATAAGATACTTTTGCTCGTTTATTAAGCATTGAACAGTGAAGCCCTAAATTATTTGTCCGAATTATTATCTTTTGAATAACACCCATATTCACATAATTTACGAAGTACACAGGACGAACCGCTTCTAAAGCTACTTGACACAAAAACAAAAGTAGCTCTTGGAGATTGCCCTTTCAGTTGCCCCACTCCAAAGCTTTGGAATAACCTACCACTAGACATAAGAAAAGCCCCATCTGTTGCTGTCGTCACAGTTTTGAAGACGCACTTGTTTTCAGGAGCTTTTGAATAGTGTTTTTATTGTGTGTCAGAAAAGTAGCACTGTTAGGAGATTTTCTTTCATTTCAGCAAAGTAGAATATATTTATATAGTAGCTGCGCTATATAAATTGATCTAATAATTATGATTTGTATAAAAATGACATTTGCATACTAAGGGTTACTGCATCCTAAGGGGTTACTCTATCACTCCTGTGTTGAGAGAAGCAGTGTAGATAAAGTGCCTTGTTCAACGCCACGAATACCCCAAATGCTATGAAGCCCTTTTGTCATTCTTTATAATCCACTTTCAGTTTATCCAGAAACTTGCTCCTAAGATCCATGAGGATGAACCCGAGCATCTCCTCCAGTCTTCCTACCTCATCAAGTACAACGCCAAGAAGATGAAAAGGTGAGATGATTGTATAATGAGGGAGTGTTTCACAAAGACTAAGATCAACTTTAAGTTGGACTTAACTATGGCAGGTTGTTCATGCCGCTGTTTGCTCTCACCATTTACTGACATTAATCTCTCTAGGGACGTACAAATCATCATGATCACAAATCTACAGAATTAACATTTGTTGATAATTCTTTATCGAAGGAAAAAATTATCTAAAGATCGTAATGGTGAGTGCAAACAGTGTCATAAACAGTCTGCCATAGTTAAGTCCAACTTACAGTCGATCTTAGTCTTTGTGAAACACTTCCAGGGCATCCTATGTCTGTGACACGAAGGCCTGTTCAGATACGATGCGGCAAAACCACAGGATTTTCTTTCGAAGGATGACGAAGAGTGTAATACACATCACATTTCTGTATCTTATCACAGAGCTATTAAAGTGAATACACGCAGGACCGTTGTTGCACGCAGGGCCATTGTTGTGAGCAGTCATCGTTCATGCGGCATTTTACTGCATCACATAAAGAAGTCTTAAATTCCACTTAGAATTAAACAGAAATTATATCTTGCATTCCTCTAATGAATAAGGTTCTATTTTTTCTAATATTCTAAAGAGTGTGTGTTCCAATTTTTTTTTAATTAGAAATAGAGCTAGAACCTTTTCGTTCTCACAGCAAAAGACAACATTGGCATGACGAAGCACAACAGACTTGCCATACTCATTTGTTTTTAAACTCATATATTGTTTTTTGTTTACATCAAAGATGCCACTTTGTTTTAAAAATTGCTGAAACAAGACCTTTCCTCCAACTTCTTATACATGTAACTCTACCATGCAGCAATGTAAATAACTACTGTACAGATTGCAAATTAATTGTTGCACGTTCTGTTTCGATTTAATTTTTTTAATACCCTTTATTTTTTAAATGTTGTTACAGGCTTGAAAAGGACTACTTTGCATTCAAGGAAAAAGAGACAGAGGAGCAGATTGAAATGAGGGTAAGTTCTGGGTACAGAAGATAGTAGAGGAATACATGTACGTATGTAGAGGTGTTGTGGACGAGTGGATAAGTCGCCGGACTGTGGATCACAAGGTCCGTGGTTCAAGTCCCGCCGCAGCACTAATGTCCTTCGGCAAGACATTGATCTACATTTGCCACTCTCCACCCAGGTGTTAAATGGGTACCCGGTAGGATGCAAAAGCTAATGTGGTTAGATTAGCAAGTGTGTGCATGTAAAAATGACGCCTGGCTGGAATGCTCCCCAGGGAGGGGAGAATGTGCATACATTGTGTGCGGGTTAGCCTGAATCCAATGACCGGGGTAATAATATACTTATCTGTAAAGCGCTTTGTGAGGGCCTCCGGTCCTGAGAAGCGCTATATGAGAACGAGCTATATTATGTTAACTAAATCAGTAAATGTTGAGTTGGTAGACGTCCTGGGGGATGGATAGACAACATCCAGAATCAGAAAGGTGGAATGAGAGTAGCAAGATTGAATGAGGGGCTATGGTATAACCGAGTGGTAATTTGCAGGCCATGTCATCAGGTTACCAAAGCAACTACTATTCTCGCAACTACCCGCTGGCGAAGAACCATGGCTTTCGCTACAAGGATACGGTCAAACAGAACCTTAAGTGGAGGCAAATTGAAATCAAGACTTGGACAACTGCTGCAGGCCAGCAAGCTGAATGAAGAACAGCTGTAAAGTAAAAGTGAAGGCGGTCATTAGCTGCTACTACTACTTTGAACAGTAATGATGCATTCTGCAAAGCAAGTCAAATATAAACATTCACCATATTTTTGTTTTGGAAAATCTTACAGAGGCTCCGCACAGAGAATAGGCTTCTCCACCAGAGGATCCAGAACCTGGAGAAGGAGAACGAGCAGCTGGCCGACAAGCTGATCCAAGGCCAGCTTTCCTGGGCCCAGGAGGCTGAGGAGGTCTACGCTGTCCGCAGGGAGCTGGAGCAGACCCGCAACGACCGCAATGCTGTTGCCAAGGAGCTTGAAGGAGCGCAGACCGTCATCAACGACCTCAGAGAGAAGGTAGGACAAGTTTGTTTGTCTGTCATTGAATTGGTCGTCGAGGCCACCTCTCCATGAAGGGAAGATGTGTAAAGGTGCCCCCTCTCCGTTAGGCCTTTAAAAAAAGATGTTGTATTGCCCTTTGCGACCGACCCAAAAATCTTGAAATCTACGGTCTGCTTTGTAAAAAAAAAAAATTACTGTTTTTTTAAAGAAAAAAATATCAAAATCTGGCTGTCCTTGTTCAGCCAGAAGGGATTAGACCACACAGTGAGGTCACTTACAGGTGGCTATCTCATTAACTCAGCTCTCAATTAACATAAGAAAAAGAGGATCATTGGGGAACCAACAAGCACCGATTGGGGAAGTTTTCTATATAGAGGGAGCAAGTAGCTACAAGTACTACAGTGTGGCTTTAAAGCATTCAAAACTGAGAAATATCAGCCCAAAGAGGGAGAAGAAAGAAAAAAAGTTATAAAAAAAAAAAGATTTCTGACCGACCGACCCATGTTTTGGCAATACAAAATCCTTTTTTTTTTAGGCCTTATGGTCAAGTGTGTGCAGTGGGTACTTGTCTATAAAGGCCACGCATCCATAGTGGCCACCTCTCTATACAGGCCACACTGGGCCCTGTAACTCAAAGGCTAGCAATCGGTTGCAAGATGGCAATGGCCAATCAAGATCATCCTTGCATGCACATATTGTTCAAAGGGCTGACCATTGACCAATCAAAATGGTCGTTTGAAACTTGCAATCGATCGCAAACCTGTGGTTACAGCGGCTACCTCTCTATACAGGTAGCATGTGTGTATTTGTCACATCTCTATAGAGACCTTGCCTTATCTTAGCTGGTCTTTATGAACAGGTTGTATTTGTACACATTCGTCTACTCAACCCTACCATAATAGCCATCTAGCTTTAAAGATCACCTGTTTACAGTGGTCACCTGTCTATAAAGGGCAACTGTCTGGAGTGGCCAGTTTCACTGCTCGCTTCACATGTAGTTGGTCTTTATAAGCAGGGTATGTTTGAACACACCTTCTTCTAATCAAACCTTTTAGAGTGGCCCCCCTCATCAAGGCTAACTCTCTGTAGTAACCACTCCGCTACTTTTTTTAGGGTGCCTATATTAGCAGTTCATATTTCAATACACTGTTTAAGTTTTTTCCCTTTTTATAATGAAAGTCATACAAACTGCATATTTTCTTTAATTTTTAAACTAACTTGACTCACCAACAATGATTATGCATGATAGAACTAACCCAAGTTAATGACAGCTAAAGATATGATGGCATTTCGTCAGACTGTTGACTTGTTTTTAACCTTTGATTTATATATATGTTTTTATTCAACCATATTTATTTCTTGACTAACTTTTTAACCCAAATTGTCTGTGCATGATGTCATAGATAACTATTAAACAGTTTGTGCACCCTAATTTTTAAACAAATAGCAAGCAGTAGTATATGAGACTTTAAATAATATGATGATGTTAAAAATGTAAAACAAATCAATATGCAATGATAATGTATAATTATATATATATGTACATGTACATATAGTATGTATCCGAATGCCTTATATTTATGATATACATGTATTATTATCTCTAGTGTATAGAGAGAGATTTAGGTGTTAAAATCCCAGAGCTTAAGCTCTGCTTGAAATCACATGACCACTCTCATCATGTGACCGATATTCTGATTCCATTAGGGTTTCTTACTAGTGAAAGAGCTGAAGCTTGGCTAAGCTTCATCTGACATGGCAGCAATTATTTCTAGCACAAGTTGCATTTTTACTTGCAGTAGAGTACATATTTTGGAAGGGGTTATTTATGGTTACGTTTAAAAAAAGAAATTATTGAGGAGGAACTCAATTAAAAAGATGGCAATGTCATAGAATAGCTTCAATATGTAGATTGTGCTACTGTATGTTAAGTCAGTTCAGTGACATTATATTATGCTGCTTGTAAAAGAATTGAAAAAGGGAAGCAGTAAAGTTATTCTTGAAGTACCAAAAATACATCTCAACATATCTGATCCTTCTTGCCGTCCTTAAATTCCAATAGCCATCCGACTTCTTGCAGTGTTTTGATGTGAACAAAGCACCCCCTCCCCCGCCCCCTCCACTGCCCCCTCCACTGCAGTTGGCTCTATACTGCTCTAATGCTCATAAAGTTTGGCACTCTTCTTTTTTTAAACACTAACATTTTCCAATCAATTATACAGTGCAATAACAATCTCGTTCACACTGCTCGTAAGAAGAGACGTTCAGTTTGATGTTTGTTATGATTGTACAGGCCTAACAATTTCCTAAATCTGTGTCTGACTTTAATGCAATGTGTCTTGCCTATACTAATGCTGACAGAAATGCATAGGATAGATTTCAAAAGAAACTTTCCTCATTTTCACAAAAGATTTCCCTTTTCATCTTTTGTCCTGTATTCATTGTTGTGTATGTGTTATGTCTTGTTTTGTATTTTCGTTGTCTAGTGATGTAAGAACATTTTTATTATGAAAAAATTGGAAGTCGATACCGTACATGTTTTGTTATGTTTCAAAGTTTGCCTTTTTATTCAGTTTTGGCACAATTCAACTTTGGCACAACTCAACGTGTTGCTTTTCTTGCGAGGCATCAGCAGGAAAATATATATAGAAATTGAACTTGTCCAGTGTGCTTTAAAATGCTGTAAAAAACAAAATGTGACATTGTTCCCCACATAAAAGTGAGTGCTCTGGACTACTGGCTCTGTATGTGGTATAAGTGCCGGAAGCAGAGAGTAGATGAATACATATAAATCCCATTTTCAAATGCTTTTCTCTTTTCTCTGATACACTTTACAATAAAAATGAAAGGATAGTAGAAATGAGTTTTTGACTGATAATGAAGCATTGATTGTGATTCCTGTATTGATTCAAAGTTTTTAGGCTACAATGATGGACTTATTTGTATGTAGACTACAATTAATAGGCCTACAATGTATATTGAATGAGAAATCACTTTTTCCTCTCAAACAAAATGATAGATTATTTTCCTTTAATTTTTTTTTTTTTAAATTTTATCCTGAACTTCTGGTGAACCTCTAGTTTTTCTCCCATTTTTTTTTTTTTTTTTTTTTTTGGGGGGGGGGGGGGGCGGGGTAAGGGTGAAAAAAGGTGAGAGGTATTTAAATTTCAATACGGTCAAATATTACGCTGAACAGCAATTACTTTCTGAGCATTTTCTAGCAAACGTAAACAAGTTTTCATACCCTCTGGTCTCTATTCATTGAATGTAACAAGTCATTTGTGAAGGGAAAAATATCCTGGAAATAATGGAAATAGTTCATTCGGAACGTCATCGTCATCGAATTGTGATCTATTGACCTCTCTCTCTATGTGTTGTGCAATTTATTTGCATAGAATTGAACAAATAAGCAATTATGATTTTTTGTACAGGTTTATTGAAAAGCTGTTTACAGTTGTAAATCCTAAAGGTCACAATTCACAAGGGAGTTGAAATCTAAACCATGGTCTTAAAGGTAAAGACCAGTTATGGTCATGCGATTGCATTGTGAAAGAAACGTTGTGGAATCGAACAGAAAAGGTTGATCATCTAGCATCTAGCATCTGCAAGGTTCTGGAATCATCAAAATGATAAGAAATTTGGCCCATTCTTCGTAAAGTTACAAGCACTATACACAGAAAGATGTATATGGAACTACCCTATATCTCTCACAGACCATGAGAGAAACAAATTTACCAAATATATGAATTAGTAGGCGGTTTCCCAGCAAATTTTTTATCATCATGTATTAGTCAAAACATATTCTTTCACATGCTTGGTAATGAGAGCTTCCATTTCATTTTTTGAAATTGGGGCGTTTCCAATACTGGTCTTTACCTTTAAACCTCTGATTTAACTTTTTATAGCTTGAAAGGCAGAACACAAAGGCGAACAAAAGAAAATATGTTGTTTCATTTTTGGAAAATAACGGTAACTAAAAGATTTATTTGTTTGTGTTTTTCTTTAAAAAGTAAAGGCAAAAAACTTACGTTATTGGATTTTGCCCATATCTTGACTGTTTCTTATTCAAATTTGAAATAAATGGACAAATGTAATAAATGATGTATTCATTCCATTTTGTTCAGATACAAGTATATTAAATTTGTTGAAAATATCAAGTGATAGCTGTCTATCACTTGTTTGAATTTGAGCTGAAGAGACTTAAATTTCAATGAAAAAGTCCATGTTGCTATATTCATACAGTCCTACATGTAGTAAAGTCTCTCCATTATAACGACAATAGATGAGGTATCAGGGAGCGGGAATAAGAGTAGTAGAAGTAATTTTAAGGTGTGAAAAATGTATTTTTAAGCAAAAGAGTGAAGTACCGTAAAGTAATCAGTTGAAAATGAGAAGTGACTTAAAAAAAAGAAAACGTTAGACTTCAGGCCCTGTTCATTCTCAACCGACGAAATTAATAGAGTTATATTTCATAACGATCTTGTTTCACGAAACATAGTAATAGTAATAGTTCATACATGTAGTAATCCTGTGTATTATGAACACATTGTGTTACATGCATATCTTTACTACATTTTAATCATCGCACAATTTGTCTTCCTCCAACAATAGATTTTTCGTTTACAAACCCCACATATATGATATCATGTAAGTATTTTGTATCAAAATGTGCCCATCCTTGTTTGACATTTTGAAAAAGAACCAAAAAAGAAATCACCTTGCATCCATAAAAGAACATTATCAGCTAGAAAAAACATTACCCAAGTGTTTTTATGTGGTTAATATATGTGTAGAGATTTTAATGTCTTTTTAAATGTTTTTATTTTATTGTAGATTCCGGTTTATTATAGAAATACCTGTAGTTTCCCTGTTTTGATAATGTGTTTGTAACATACATTCCCTCATTTCCGTGGCATCCAAGTTTGTGATTTACCTCTTTTTTTCTCCAGTATTTTTATTTTTTATTTATATTTTTTGCATTTATTTGGTTATTGTGATTATTATTTTTATTGTGA